GTCAGGGGACAGCGTGTGAGAGCAGAGCAGGGCTGCGGGCACACACAGCTGCCGTGAGTGGTCAGGGGACAGCGTGTGAGAGCAGAGCAGGGCTGTGGGCACACACAGCTGCCGTGTCAGAGCACCCAGCCCCTCTGGGCCTCCGCATGTGCACACCCACCCAGGACAGAGTTTTTCCAGGCAGATCCGGGGTCTCAGCAGCTTTCAGCCATGAAGGCGGAAGGAAAGATGGAGAAGTTGGAGTAAAAGAAAGTGCAGAGCGCAGTTGTGCAGCTTTTTCCTCCTGAGATGTGCATGAGGCCGCCTGAGTGGAGCTGTGGGCCTCTCCGCTCACCTGGCCTGGGCCTTTGCGCTCTCAGAAGCTGAGGGCCCAGGGCCGGGGACAGCTCAGTCCTGCCGTCCTCCCTGTCCGCGCTGGGTGTTTGTGTTCATTGTCCCCGCCCCTTTCTCACCTCTGGCCTGATGGGCAGACCTCTGACCTGGGTTTTGGCCTCCGAGGCCTGAGCTGGAGGCAGCCCTGGGAGCCCTAAAGCTGTGAACACACTCCCGGCTAGGCCTGTGGCCCAAGCCCCCAGCGCCCTGGAGGCGAGCCATGTCTTCCCGTGCAGGGCGCTGGGGGCTCCTCCCTCTCCTGTGGCACCCCCCGGGGACTGGCCGTCCTGCTGTGAGCAGGCCCTGCACTGTTGTCGGTAGTGTCTGGAGTGACGCCACCTCCCCCTGCCTTTCAGCTTCGAGAGCATGCAGAGGCTCTGCGACAAGTACAACCGGGCCATCGACAGCATCCACCAGCTGGTAGGTGGCCCCGCCGTCCCTGCAGCCCGCCCCACGGTGCCAAGCCGTGATCTCTGCCAGGGCCTCAGCGGGCACGGGCCCCCAGCGGGCTGAGGTCCGGGCGTGGGGATTCTGTGGGTGACGCTGTGATGTTGGTGAGTGGTGTCTTGGGCATAGACCAGGCCCTTGTCCAGACTGTGTCCCCTGCAGACCTTCCCCAGCCCACGCTGACGGTGGGCGCTCGAGTTGGTGCAGTCAGCCCCTGCCTGTGGTGTGGCTGTGAGTGGGTGGCTGAGGGGTCCACCAGTCCCCACAGTGACGCCCTGTGGTAGGCCTGGGTGGAGGCGGGCCATCTCCCAGGGCACAGCGCGCTGTTCCGGCGGCCAGGCAGGGGCTTGAACCTCAGAGACACGGAGCAGAGGCTGTGTGTGTGGTCCTGGCTGATTGCTCCTCCAGAAGAGATTTTCAGTTTGAGGTGGCTTTTCTGAGGCCAGAGTTTCGGAGAGTGCCAGAGTCGATGAGGCTGAACAAACCTTCTGTCCCAGCTCAGGGGTCCCAGGCAGCAGGCACTCCTGCACAGTGTGGGTCGTGCCGGCAAGCCAGGGTCCTGGGGAAGCCTGGTGGGAGGATGAGATGCCTGGGTCCCCATCTGCACTCCTGAGTGTATTCCCGTGATGAGCTTGGGCTAGGAAAAGGACATGTGTAAAGTGCCTGGGCCGTGGGGGTGCAGGGAGAAGGAATTGTCCTTCACACCTTCCTGTCCCTGTCGGCAATAAAAATAGGGATATTGCGTGCACGGACGTACACGTACACGCGTATCCACGTATACACGCACACACAGTGCACGTAAACACATTCACACGTGCGCCTACACGGCCACACCCAAATATCCACACTTGCATGCAGTACAACACAAACACGCAGTACACGCACACGTGTGCGTACATTTACACAAATACATGTGCACGCACACGCACACTTTGTTCCCCAGGTGTGGGGCCCGGCTGCCGTCCTGGGCGCTGACTGGGTTTCTTGCCGCCTTTGTGCCCTAGTGGAAGGGGACCACGCAGCCCATGAAGCTGAACACGCGGCCGTGCAACGGGCTGCTGCGGCACATCCTGCAGCAGGTCTACAACCACTCGGTCACCGACCCTGAGAAGCTCAACAACTACGAGCCCTTCTCGCCTGAGGTGTATGGCGAGACCTCCTTCGACCTGGTGGCACAGATGATCGACGAGATCAAGATGACCGAGGACGACCTGTTCGTGGACCTGGGCAGCGGTGAGTGCGGCCCCCTCGTCCGACTGGAGACAGGAGGGCGCGTTGCATGTCGGCGTCACAGACTCCCAGCTGGGAGGCGGTCAGCAGGAGCAGCTGCGTCAGTCAGAGCAAGTCTCCAGGCCCCTTCTTCCTCAACTTCGGGGGCCTTCCTCTGAGGCCCAGGGCCCTGCCTTCCAGCCCCACAGCCCCTGCTGTCCACACTGCCATTTTGCCAGCCCTCACCTCCCTGCGAGTTCCCACCTCACCTGGAGATGGAAGGCAGTGCGGTCCTACGTCCCCGAGCCCACCCCAGCCTTCCCGGGGCTCCACCCCCACCTTCCTGGGGCTCCGTCCCAGCGTCAGCGCTGTCCTGCCCCTCCCCTTCCTTCCTCTCCTGCCTTTGCCCTGATTGATCGGGAGCAAGGCCTTCTGGCTCCAGCCCGAGCTCCTGTCTGCAGCCAGCCTCTTATCTGCCACGGTGGTATCCCGGACCCGGTCGCCTGCAGTGGCCTCTCACTGGCTCCCGGGTCAGCCTCTCCCCACCTCCAGCCAGCCGCCAGGCGCGGCCTGCAGTGAGAAGGCCATTCCCCTTCACCGTAGAAGGAGGCCCGCCCTGCCGGTTCCCTTGGCCCCTGCGCGCCGCCCTCAGCTGGGCTTGCTCCCACGTACTGTCCGGGATCACCGACCAGCACCCCAGTGACATTCTCTGCCCCTCTTCTTCTGCCTTGTTCTTCCATGTCGCGCTGACCACCCGGCAAGCTGTTGGTCTCTTGATTATCTGAGGGTCCTCTCCACCGTAGCGGACACTCCCAGGCAGGAAGGGCAGCCTCGCCTGTCGGGGTCATGACTCTGTCGTCAGCTCTGATGTCGGGCCTGGTAGCTAGGCCTGAGAGAAACCTTTATGGGGCGAGGAAACCCGTGCTGCTGGGTCCCGGAGCCCTCACGGGGAGGAAACCCGTGCTGCTGGGTCCCGGCGCCCTCACGGGGGAGGGAGCCCGTGCTGCTGGGTCCCGGAGCCCCATGGGGAGGAAACCCGTGCTGCTGGGTCCTGGAGCCCGCACAGGGGAGGGAGCCCATGCTGCTGGGTCCTGGAAGTGTGGGGTTGTGTGTGAGGCCTGCCGGCAGGTGTCATATTTATCTTGAGAGGTCAGGGCACGGTGCTCCCCTGTAGCGCCTTTGCCGTCCCGTCCCCAGGCTTCCCTGTGACAAGCCTCGTGCCGACGGCTGGAGGGTGCGGCCTTGAGCAGGTGCTGTGTCGACATGGGACCTGGACCCCTTGAGACGGGAACGGCGAGGACCTCGTTGGTGACGTCCTCGCTTGCTCCCAGCCCCTTTCAGTGCACAGTTTGTGGATCAGCAGGAACGCGCCTGAACCATGTCCATCCGTTTGTGGTGGTGCTGTTCTATAAGGGCCCCCCAACACGGCGCCGGCCCTGCTGGGCTGCAGCTAGGAACGGCACGGCCTCCCTGCGCAAACACCACAGCGTTGGTGGCGAGTCGGCAGATAGTCCAGAAGAGTCCAGAGGCTAGTCCTCGCTAAAACTAGCTGACGACAGGACCTGGCTCTCGTGCCCCCGCCTCCCGCGTTCCGCCCTGCTCCCCTGGCACTTAGCTCGGGCTTCTCGCTGTGGGTGGGCCTGGGCACTCACCTCCCCGCTGGTACACATTCCGCCCGTTAGGATGAGTCCATCTTACTGCGGATGGAAACCAGGGGCTCCCGACACAGCACCTGAAACATTGTGGCCATGGGAGAAGCCTCCCAGACACATGTCACTACAGAGCTTCCAGGGATGTCTAAATGCTGGCGACTCCGGCTCTTGCTGTGGCCGCAGACGGCCTGGCTGTGTGGGTGTGTGGTTTGGGGTCCTGACTTGCTGGCGCGTGGCACCGACGCCAGAAAGTGATGGGTGTCGGAGAGCCGGGTATGGCCTGCCGCGGTTTTTCCCGCGACCTCTGCAATCCCGGACCAAGCCTCAGTCAGACTCCCATCTCTGAAAAACTTTATGAAGAGATTTCAGGTTGGAGGTGCTGCGGCCCCATGGTGGTGTTCTGGGGTTCCCCGTGGGTGTGGGCGCCGCCGCAGTGATCCAGGAGCGCGGAGGTGATCTGGAGGTCCGGGGTTGGTGGAACCTCTCCAAGGCGCTCGTGTTGGTACCTTATAGCAAACACCTCACTGGACCTTGGACTGAAAATGGGTTCCCTTTACGGGCATCCAAGGTGACGAGATGTCATGGAGGTGGATGTCCCCTGCCGTGGCCCGGGTGCTTGGTGACGGTGGAGTGGCCACGTGGAGTGCAAGAGTGTGGCCTCTGCCTATGGACTACAGCAGCCCCACTCATCGCGAGTCCCACCCTCCTGGCCGCCTGTCCCCGTCACCTCCGAGCCCGGGCCCCATCTGTCTGACAGTGTCTCTCTTTCTGCCTCAAGGAGTGGGCCAGGTTGTGCTCCAGGTGGCTGCAGCCACCAACTGCAAACATCACTACGGCGTGGAGAAAGCTGACATCCCAGCCAAGTACGCGGAGGTGAGTGACTGGGGGCAGATGGTCGTGGGGTGGGGGCACTGCCGCGCCTGGGGCCTGGACGGTTGGGGCCCCTCAGGTGGTCTGTGGCAGAGGGAGTACTTGTATCCTCGCTGCCCTGGGGCCTGCACTGCGGGTGGGGCCTTGCTGCGGGCGGGGCCTGTGCTGTGCGGCCCATGGGCCCTGGCTGTAGCAGGCCTCCGCGTGGGAACAGCACGGGCAACTTCGGTAGATGGGTCGTGGGTAGACGAGCCTTTAGACACCTCCTGGTCTTCCTGTGGCCATATGGCTCCACTGTCATTAAAGGGCAGAGTAAGTGGGGACAACAGGCAACCCAGCAAGTCTGGACTGCAGGGAGTGGCAGTAATTCCCACCCAGAATCAGGTCTGCTGTGAAGGGCTGGGACGTGGGGCCCTCCTGGGGCCAGCAACCTTGGCTGCTGTGTCATGGGACCTCAGGCGTCCCTCCTAGGTGTAGGCACAGCCCCGTGCAGGCCCTTCATCTCGCTCTCCATGGGACGGTGAGTGAGCGTGACCTGGCCGCCCCTGTGGCCTGGGAGCACCGATTGGCCCTCCCTCGCCCTCCCGTGCTGTGACTCGTGGTTTTTGGGGAACCGCTGTGCGTAATCCGGCCTTGGCCGGCGCCCTGCTCGCCAGCGCCTGCCCGGGCTGTGGTCAGCAGGGTGTGGGGAGAGGCGTGCGTGAGCGGTGTCCCCCTGCCCCCATTCAGGTGATCAGGTTTCATGGTCCAGATGCCCTGTGGACTGTAGGTGCCTGGAGCACTGGGAGTCCCGTGAGGCCTGTGACGACTCCCACTCGTGCGTTGCTCTGGGCGTGTCTCAAAGAAAGTGGTTACGCCGGGGTTGGGAGAGCCGGGGCCCCTGTGGGATCCTGCTGGGCACAGTGGGCAGGGTAGACGTGGAGCAGCCCAGAACGTCCTGGTGAGGAGGCCCCTGGTGGTGTCTTTTCCTTCCAGACGATGGACAGAGAATTCAGGAAGTGGATGAAATGGTATGGAAAAAAGCATGCCGGATACACAGTGAGTGCCTCCTCTGTGCTCTGTGGCCCTGACGCTGCGGGCAGCCCCTCTGTGTCTCTGTCTCTCTGACCACCGTTCATCTCTGTCTCGGTGGAAACCGTGGCCTTTTCTCTGCGTGGTTTCCTTCTTGCTCTCCTCGGGGCGTCTGAGTACGGATTCGTCCCTCAGGGTTCCTCTCGCGTGGCTGTGAAAGCTGGCCCGTGGGAGCCTGCGTTTTGCCCCTTTCCCATCCTTCTCCAGCTTCGCGTTTCCTGGGGGCCTGCTTATCCCTGCCGTCCAACACGGCTCTCCCGTCCTGCATTCCCGGCAGCCACGAGTGAGCGTTCCCGGTGCTCCTCGACCTTGTCCGCATTTGATGGTGTCAGGCTTTGGAGTTCAGCCATCTAGTAGGGGTGTAGTGGCGTCTTGTCATGGTTTGCGGGTTCCAGTGTGGTATGACACTGAGCCTTTCTTCACCTATCCGTCTTCTTTGGTGAGGGGCCTCTTCAGATCTTTTGCCCATTTTCAAGTTGGGTTATTTGTTTTCTTGCTGGGTTTTAAGCGTTCTTTGCATATTTTGAGTACAAGTCCTTTGTTCTTGCAAATGTTTTCTCTCGCTGGGCTGTGACAATCGTGGCATCTCAGTCGGCTGGGCCGCCGTGTGGGAACGGCTTCCACTGTCTGCGTAGTTCAGGGCGCGCACTGTTCACGGTTCCAGTAGAAGGCCTTGGAGATGGGCTGTCTGGCCGCAGGTTCCGACAGGGCTCGGTGCTTGTCTCAGACACCTGTCTGACCACTAGTCCTCCTTCAGGCGAGTTCTTCTGGAAAGTGTCTGTCGCCTGATTTTTCACACCCATTTCCGCGGAACATGGGTCCTGGTGTTTGGAAAGACCCCAGCAGCATCCCTTGGCTTTGACGTGGTGCCCGGCTGGCACCTCAGAGTGCTGCCTCCTGTCACTTGGTAAGTGAGGAGGGGAAATGAGCAGGAGCCCAAGACAGCCGGGCGACCTTCCCAGGTTCGGAGCTGCCTGCCGGCCAGGACCCCCATCAGCACCTCTGCCCTGCGGAGGCCTGACATGCAGCCCCTCCGAGCCGGCGTCTCTGGGCCATGCACACCCAGCCTCTGTGCCTGCTCCCTAACCGCAGCCGCGTCCTTCCCGGCCTGTGTCTGACTCCAGCCCCATGGACACCCGCGCTGCCCTGGCCTCCGTCCACGTGCCCGTCCCGACCCGGGACCTTCCTCGGTGGAGCTGTCTCTTTCTCAGGCGCTGGGCGCCCCCTTGAGGATAGGAATTGGGCCAGGGATCGGCATCTAGGGTGCAGGGGCCTTGGCGGCCTCCCCCTCAGCCTTCCCCACCACCACTCTGCCTTCCTGTCACTGACCAGGGTGTGGGTGGCCCGCTGTGTGTTGGCGTGTGAGGGGTGACAGTAGCCATGGGCTGGAAGGCTGCGCCCTCCTGAGGAACCTGCCCGTCCTCCTTGTGGGAAGAGCTCTGGGGTGGCTGGACTGGCAGTGCTCGGGGGCCTCTTCTGTAGCCCCCCGCTCTGTGCACAGGACAGAAGGGGGCTCACGGCCACCTTGCGCTACCTGAGGCAGACGTGGGTCTCTCCCAACGGCATCTCCAGGCTCTCTGCCAGGCCTCAGGGACATTTCAAGTCACCTTTTTATGGTGTCATCTTCCTTGAATTACGTGAGTTAATTTGTACGATGATGCGTTTTTTTAAAAAATAGTAACAGCTTTGTTGATGTATAATTTACCTGTCATGTTTTACTTATTTAAAGTGTATAATTTGGTGTTTTTAGTATGTTCAGAGTTGTATAACTATTATCTCTATCTAGTTCTAGAAATTCTCATCACTCTGAAAGAGAACCCTGCAGCCACCAGCAGTCACTCCCTACCCGCTCCCTCAGCCCCAGGCGACCACAGGTCCACTTCTTGTCTCTGTGGACTTGCCTGTCTGGACATTTCCCGTCGGTGGGATCAGACATGGCATGGTCTCCTGTGTCTGGCTTCTGTCACTGGGCATCACGTTTTCCAGGTTCATCCACGTCGTAGGTGGATCTGTGCTTCGTTCCTCCGTGTGGGAGAGTAACGTTCCCCCGTGTGGACGGACCACACTGTGTCTGTCACCTGTTGGTGGTCATCTGGGTGTGTGTCCACCTCTGACCCCTTCTTTGTGCTGCTGTGAACACACACATGCAGGTTTCCATTTCTCTTGGGTGTCTGCCGGGGAGTAGAGATGACAGTCGTTTTAAAGAATGATAAAACCAGATTCTTCACAGCTTCAGACGATTGTGTCCGTAAGGCCTGCCTTGTGTTTGACCACCTTCGGCCTTGAGGAGGCAGGTGGATGTTGGTCTGTTCACGAAAGTAGCCGTGGGTGCCAGTTTGTGTTGCACGCAAGTCGGACTCCAGGTCAGAGGTCCCAGGAGCAGGCTGACAGCGCGTGTCGGTGTTGGAAACACAGAGCCCTCCCCTCCCCGAGTGCAGTGTTGTCGTTGGCGGGAAGGGCAGCCTCGAGTGGCTCATGATGGCGGCTTCTTGCCCTCCGACCCCTCGCAGTGTACGCGCACACCCCAGCACCATGGAGCTCCCTGAAGTCCGTGCCCTGGAATTCTCCGCGGGAGCCGTTCCTAACTCGTGCCTGTCCTAAAAACCTGGCTATTTTATCAGTCCTCTGTGCCAGGGGAGGGGGACAGACAGGGCAGGACCTGAAGGTGCCTAGCTGGGCTGGGGATGATGGTGCCCAGGGCATTCTGCGGCCCTGGGTGAGGGGGCCCTCTGCAGTGGCCTCTGGTACTCACCGTGGGTGCAGCCTCCGCTTTTGAGCTGTCGAAAGGTGTGGACGTAGTGCTGTGACAGCACCGAGGTGTGTCCTCGTGGGGCAAGCCGCTGTCCACTTAGCTGTGCTCCGTTCTCAGCCCTCCCTCGGGCCTGACACGGCCCTGTCCTCCTCGACCCTGCGCTCGGCCTTCCAGCCTGGCTCTGGACTGCAGACCCTCGTGCCTCTCGTTGGGCCTGTCGTGGGGGCCCTGTGCTATCTCTGGTCACCCCCCTTCTCCCCGAGCCATCTCTGCCTCACCTCGGGGTCTTATGCCCCCACTGTGGGGACTCTGCGCATTTCACCTTTCTTCATGGGCTGGACAGCGCCCCGTGAGACCTGGGTGGTAGATAAACCCTGTCGGTGTTTTCTTTCTTTCAGCTGGAAAGAGGCGATTTCCTCTCAGAAGAGTGGCGTGAGCGGATTGCGAACACGAGGTACGGCCGGGCAGAGGCCCCTGGGCTGTGTGGTGTCCTCAGGCCTGCTGGGGATAGGCAGGGGTGGCCCACTGCCTGGGAAGGCACCCGGAGCCCGGTGAGCGGCCACTGTGGGCAGTCCAAGGGCCGGCGGGGCCTCACTGTCACCGCCGCGCGGGCCGGGTCCAGCTGCCCCATCAGGTGGGACTCTTCCCGAGGGCCGGGGTGGTGGCCAAGGTGCAGTCAGGTGACGTCCCCACGGTCAAGAGAGCAGACATGACACGGCTAGGAGAGGCTGGAGCAAGGCATCTCATTCTGCTTGCCACGGTCCTTATGCCCCCTTGGGCCCCGCAGACCTGCTGTCCCCTGCTGGCTCATCCCCGGGACACTCACTCCCGGGAAGTGTCCCCTGCTGGCTTATTCCCGGGCTCAGCACACAATGCTTGCTGGGGTGTCGCCCTGGTGCTAGTTCTCTTTCTGTCTGGCTTGGCCTCCTCCCCCAGGCTGGGTTCAGGGGCATCCTTGTTCTTGGTGTCACCTTGGCACTGGCCTGGTGTGATGGGGCACTTGGTCATGCATACCCACCACCCCTGCCCGGTGCTGCCCTAGGCATCTGAGCCTGCTCTGTGCTCACTCTGCCCTCCCGTGTCAGGACAGCCAGCTGTCACCCTCGACCCCCGGGCTGCCTGTGGCCTCCACATCATGCTGCTCGAGAAGCTGTGTCCCCAGGTCCTAGGATAGTCAGCACTGTCGGAGACATGGCTGGAGTGCTGTGTCTCGGGAACTCGTGCGGTCTGAGGGGGTCCGTGGGGGCTGTGCCAGTGTCCGGGGGCCACCGTGACAAAGTGCCACACACTGGGGGCTTAGAACAGCAGCCATTCATTCCCTCATGGTTCTGGCGGCCAGGAGTCTGGATGCAAGGTGTCACCGGGGCCATGCTTCCTCCGGGGGCTCGAGGGGAGGGTCCTTCCTTGTCTCTCCCGGCTTCTGTGGCCGCATCACCGCTCTCTCTGCCTCCGCCTTCACGTGGCCGTTTTCCTGCTGTGTCTTTGCGTCCCTTCTCTTTTACATGACACCACTCAGCTCGGACAAGGACCCCCTACTCCAGGGTGATCTCATCGTAACTAATGACATGTGCAAAGACCCTGTTTCCAAACAGAGACCAGAAGTAGGACATCAGCATATCTTTGGGGGGCACAGTTCAGCCCATCAGGGTGCTTGGTCAGGCGAGTGGTAGGAAGTGTTGTGAGCTGTGAGGCTCTCGTGCGACCCCCGTGTTCCGGGCGGTGCTGCGTGTTTGGGGTCTGTCCCTGTTGCGGTGCGGCTGGGCTTGCGGGGCTGGGTCGCACAGCTGCAGCTTGGTCCTGTCGTGTTCCCACCCCCCTTCCTTCTGCTCTTGCTCATTACTCGCTGCCTTGTCCCCCCACCCTCTGTACGGGGACACCCAGAAAATAGAGGCTTCTCTTTCATACAAGCCTTTCCTTCTCTGCTGTGAGGGTCCTTTACATTTGGGGCCCCCACAGCCTGGTCCTCCACCCTCCTTCGCGCCTTACCTGGGGCCAGTGCTGAGGGTCGGCCCGCCATTCCTGGGGCGTTCGTCCTCCGTGGTCACCGTGAGCATAGTAGTGCCTGGACGCAGCTCCCCCCCGACCAGCGTCCTGCTGGTGGCGTCCGCTGTGGGTGCCCCCCGCCCGCTCCCTTGTTCTCACCGGGTCGGCGGTGGCTGTCCTCGCGCCAGTCGGTTTTTGGTGTCCTCGTCTCTGAGGTGCGGGGGGGCTTTTGGAGGCAGATGGTTGTCTCACCCAGCCAGTCCCCAAGGCCCTTTCCTGGCCCGGGCCTCCTCACACCCTGTCACCTCGAACCACCAGGCTCTTGGATGCCGGTTCCCAGCCCGGCTGCAGAGCAGGCGCTGGTCTTGCCGCTGGCCCAGGGCAGCCGGGACACCTGCGGGAGGACGGCAGGCCTGGGAACCCCGCGGCTGGCCACCGCTGCTCATGTTACCTTGTCCACTCACCTCCCCGGTCAGTGCGCTGGCCCGTGACGTCCACGAGGCCTGCCTTCTCGTACGGCGGGAGGGGAGAGTCCGCTCTGTGTGTCTGTCCGTGACGTTCGTATTCGGAACAGTCCTCTGTTCCCTTGTGCTTCCCGGCTCCGCCTCATTCTCCGTCTCGCCCGGTCGGGCTGCTGGTGCGTGTGACCGGCCTCTTTCATTTCGGAACCAGCCACACGGGGATCCGCGTGGGCTCCTGTGTTCTCTGTGCGTGTGAAAGCGGAGGACGACCTTGTGTCCGTGATTTGAAGACACGCAGTGGAGTTAGAGCTGTGTCTCCGTCTGGAGAGAGGCCACGTCCGTGTTAACTTTGGAAAAGGCTCCTTGCTGTCGGGTTTGCAGGCTCACCCATCCCGTAGATGTTTGTAGACTTCAGGCGTTCAGAGCGCGTCCCTCTGTGTCCGTGATAGCCGGCACCTTCCGGGCGAGCCGGGGGCTGGGAGGAGCAGAGACAGCAGCAGTGGGGGGTGGAGTCCCCGAGCTCTGGGGCGAGAGCACAACCGTGCCCCACCTGCTCGTCACCTCCGGCAGGTTCCGCAGACCCAGGGTTCCTTAGCTTGCTGGGTGCCGGGCAGCAGGTGAGGATGCGGGAAGAGCCGAGTGGCTGCTTCCGGAGAAGAACACTCCCCCTAGTCCCCTGGGCCCCATGCAGAGCCATCCACCAGGGCCCCCTTGACTGTGGCAGCCTAGACCAGCTCTTGAGGTCGCACTGGCTTTGAAACTTTGGGGCTCCCTCCAGTGGGGCCCCCAGACACAGGCGGGTGGGCAGGTGGGCATGTCCCTCGACATGCCCTGGGGGTGCTCCCATGGCCTCAGAGTAGGGGTGACAGCGAGGCCTCTCTGATGCTCCTTGGGCTGCTACCAGCGTCCCAGCCCTGGGATGGCCTCCTCACACTTCACTACGCCTTGGGGCACAGCAGGCAGGCGTGGGCATCCAAGGGTGGTGGGTGACATCGATCAGCAGGCGGGGAGGGGTTGGGCCACATGCCAGGTGGCGGCTCCTCCCAGGTGGCCAGCAGCCCAAAGGTCCAAGAAATTTCTGGAATATTGTGTGTTGGCAACAGAGTGAGGAAACTCCTTGGAGCCCCCTCTGGACCTGGGTGGGCCTGGGATCTGCCTGTGGTCTGCAGGGTTAGTGAGGGGTGAGAGCGGTGGGCAGGCAGGTGGGCCTGAGTCCCGGGGCATGGGTCAGCGAGCCTGCAGGCCGCTGTGTGCACTGGGACTTTAGGCAGGTCGAGGCGGATACTTCACTTTACTCAACTGGAATATTGTTTTGCAGTGTTATATTTGTGAATAACTTTGCCTTTGGTCCTGAGGTGGATCACCAGCTGAAGGAACGATTTGCAAACATGAAGGAAGGTAAGGTATCCCTTCTTAACCCTCGGCCTGTGGGAGCTGTGAGCAGACAGCCTCCCTGAGTGCTAGTCGTGTGGGCTCTGTGTGTGGGCTTGGTGCTGACCGCAGATACTGCGCTCCTTTCCACAGTGTTGACCTCTGTTGGCTTAGCCCCCGGCTGAAACGCGCCATCGGGGTTGGTTATGTGTGTTGTGACACTTCCTGTCATCTGAGGGGGCAGCATGGTGTCCCCTGGTGCCTCCAAGTGCTGTGTCTGGGAGCGTATAGCCTGCTCAGGCCGGAGGTCAAAGGCTCACAGTGTGCCTGGAAGTATAGGGTGTTTCCCTGGGTGAGGGGCCCTGGCCGGGCGCCCGACCTCCCTCCATTACTGTCAGCCGTCCACCACCTCCAGGGCCCTTAGCCTGGTCTTGTGGCCAAGTACGAGGGAGTTATTGATAAATGCACAGGACAGGCAGTTAAATTTGAATTTTGGATAGTGAATAACTCTAGTAGAAGTATGTCTTTACTCACACTAAGCGACTGTTCATTGTTTCCTGAAGTTCACATTTACCTGGGTGTTAACTGTTTTACTTGGTGGACCACAGATGGGGCATTTGGGGACACTGGGGTCCTCCAGGAAGGCTCCTTTTGCCTTGTCCTGGGCTTTCCCCCATCACCTGAGTGTCACCAGCTTGTCAGTGCCTGTCCTGTCCCTCTCCTCCTTCACCTCACTCTCCCTTCTTCCTCAGCAGCAAGGAGGTGCCCAGGCCAGGTCTTGTTGGACATGGTGAGGGGGTGTCTTGACTTTGCGAGTCTCGGTTCAGCCAGAAATCCTTTCTCCAAATTAATGAGGAAGTTCTAGATTGTGGCTTGAAAGCTGTGGTGGTCATCGTTGGGTCTGGAAAGGTGTTTATTCCCTTAGGAATTGGCTCAGTGATTTAGTCAGGCTTTGCTTTCCCTCTGCTCACAAGAACCTCTTGATTGGGAGCTAGTTCGGCCCTCTCGTGGAGTGGGAGTCCTCCTTCTCCTGGTATCTGCATGAACTTGCAGGGGGAAGTTGAAGTCTTGACAGTCCCGCAGTAGAAGGTGACAAAGACAGGAAAGCCGGTAGCAGTCAGGCAAGTGCTGTCCTCCTTGGAGCGTCTTGCTCCCCTCTTTGGCCACACCGAGCCTGTGTGAGCCTTTTCTTTCAAGACTGTGGCTTTTCTAGTCTCGGGTAGGACCTTATCTTGACTGCCAGTGTCTCCTGCCCGGCCCAGGTGCCGAGCCCCAGAAGAGCCATCCAGGAGGAGGGCCGTTTTACCCCCCGAGCCTGCGTGTGCACACGCCTCCTAACCGTGGACACGAGGGAGGGCAGGAGGGCCTTGGTCTCAGCAGCCCCAGGACAGGCTCACGCCACGCCCAGAGGCTGGACGCCTCTCCTGGAACCAGACGGCAGGCGCCACGTGTCTCCTCGCCCACTCAGAATGTCAGGCAGGCAGGATGCCCGGTCCTAGAACCTTCCAGATAGACGGGAGTCAGCTAGGTGCATCCCAGCACCAGCCGAGGTGTGTAATGGCTGGTGGGTCCCACAGTGTGTCAGACGCTGACCCTCAGAGTGTACAGGAGAGGAGCCGTGTGGTCCAGGAGAGGGAAGCCGTCTGCAGCAGTGGGATCAGGGAGTTGGTTCTGTGAGGCCGGGACCTGCTCAGAGCAGGGTGGTGCTGGGACCGCGCCCCGAGCCCAGGTGGGAAGGCTCTTCTTCCCCAGTTTGTTTTCTGTGAGCCCAGCCTTGAGCCTGAGACACAGGTGGGTAGATGGCAGGTGCAGAGACAGGAGCTCTGCAAACAAAGGGTGGGAGTAGCCGAGAGACCCCGGCTCTCCCCCCGTGAACCCAGCTCAGTGAGGTCATGACAAGGAGAGGCCTTTCTCCCCTCTCCCTTCCTCTCCTGCTGTCCCTGCTTGTTTCCTTCTTTCAGACGACTTAAAGCACAAGGAGAATGCTGTAGTGACCAGATGTGATGACTGTGTCGTCAGAGTCCCCACGGGGGTCACCACAGCCTCATCAGGGTGGGAGCAGGGTGGTCTCTGCAGGGGTGTCCCGCAGAGGAGAGCCCCCATGGGCATGGTCTGCATCTGCAGGGAGAGCCTGACTTCCTCCTTCCTTCTCGAGTCTCACACCTATTTCCTCTGTTTTCTTAACGAGCAGGAGGAGTCAAATTCTTTGGCTCTGCAGTTTTTCCTATGTTCTATAAGTTGTGGTGAAGTCTGTGTAACAAAGCACGGGACATCTCAGCTGTTTTCACGCGCGCGATACAGTGAGGTGAATTATGTCCACCACGCTGCGCCACCATCACCTCTAACTGAAGCTCAGTGTTCCCTAAGCAGGGCTCCCCCAGTAACCAGGGATGAACTCTTCTCCCCTCCATTTTCACCTTAGGGAGAGAGGTTAGTCATTGTTCGTGTGATGCAGACGCTCAGAACAGCTGACTGCCTTGGTTGAGGCCGGCTGGCGCCACAGGACGAGGCTGTTCTGCCGCCCAGACCTTGGTCACTGCTCTGTGTTAGTCCAGGAGCATAGCACTGAGTCCACTCTTTGGAGTTCAAATATTCTGGCCAAATTCCCTGCTCACAGTGTATCAGCCGCCCCTCAACACTCAGATGCAGTGTTTGTCAGGGCCTCTGGGTCACCACGTGGGGCCAGAGCTGCCCGCGCTCCTCATTAGAGCCGGAACACGTGTCTGTGTGTGTGCCCGTGTTTATGCATGTTTGCGTGTGTCTGAGTGCTGCTCTGTGTGCTCACGTGTGTGTCTGAGTGTGTCTCCGTGTGTCTTTGTGTATCTGTCGTGTGTATGTCTGAGTACGTGTGTGTCTGTGTCAGTGTGTCTCTCTGTATGTCTGAGAGTATGTATGAGTGTATGTGTCTGAGTGTGTCTGTGTGTGTGTATGTGTGAGTGAGTGGCAGGGGGCCTGTTCCTGAGTCACTCTGAAGCAGAAGCCGCAGACACGGTGATCCTTCCATCGAGGCCCAGGGCATCTCCTCCTCCCCCTGAGAACCAGGACAGTGATTCCCACCGCCCTCCAGTCTCCTCAATGAACGCCTGGCCGGCGGTCCTCATCCCCTCTCCTGGCTGTTTCTTCCTGACCTTTCTGGTCCTGGAGTTGTCCGTCTGCCCTTTTTATGATGCTCGTTAGGACTGTCCAGGCCAGGTGTCTCGTGGACTTCTGCGTACTCTTATTTCTTCCTCGGGTGCTGTTGGGTGTCTCCTTGCCCCCTGGCCTGGAGGATCAGTCAGTCAGGGCAGGCACGCAGGAAGTGCAGCGCCGAGGCTGAGCCCCAGGGGGTGCGGCGGCCTGCGGCCTCTGTGCAGTGGGTGGGTGGCGTGTGGTCACGTTGCTCGCTGGCTCCTGTGGTGGCCTAGCCTCGGGAGTCCCCAAACACAGTGCTCTTGTGAGCACCTGCGATGCTGCTGGGCTCAGCTGTCGGATCGGGGGTCGCAGGACTCGCTTTCCTTGTCACCCTGTTTCTTCTGTACTTACCAGCTGGTGTCCTGTGAAGGCCCCCCCCCCCACCGCCACCCCCATCACTGAGCGTTGCTGCAGCTCACGGGCCGTGTTGTTGATTGCATGACTGGTGGCTGCACTGTCTCTCTTGGGTGTGTGGTGTTCACTGTACAGCGGCCGTCACTGTTACTCTCTGCTGCTCGCACCATCCCCACCCGCCTCTGAGACCCACCCTGTGAGGCTGGGACAAGAGGCCCCAGCCCCGAAACCAGCCGCTTCTCTGGGCCTCTGAATGGAGAGGAGACTTAGGGACCAAGACTTGGGTGCTAGGTGCTCATTGCTACCAGGGTGTCATTGCGTCTAGATAGTGTCTGCAGAGGGACTCGGACCAGGGTGGGGACGTGTGCTGTGTGTGTACAAGTCTGTGTGTGCGTGATATACTTCTTGTATACCGTTCACATGTGTACGTGTGTCCCATGTATGTGTACGTGTGTGAGGTACATGTGTGTGTACATGTGTGTGCGTACATGTGTGTGCTCTGTACGTGTATGAGTATGTCTGCATGTGTGTACTGCATATGTGTGTGCACCGTACATGTGTTGGAATGGATTCATTGGACTCTGCCAATTTCTCATTATTGCCCGTTTTGATTTTTTGTAGTTGGTTCTGCTTACGCTGAGAAATTTGGTTGCTAAAAGTATTGGTGTGTTTTCTTCTGTGATTCTCCCCGTGTACACATAAAGGACTTCATGGTCACGTTTCCCTGTGTGCACATAAAGGACTTCATGCTCACGTTTCCCTGTGTGCGCATAAAGCAGTAGTCTCCTAACTGTCACGTGGAGGAGAGCCAGCAGTGAGCGCGCCGGGCAGCCTGAGGCTCCCGTGTGGTCCGCGTCGTCCTGGGGACAGCGCGCGGGAAGGCTCCTGTGGGTGACTTGAAATCCTTGTTCTCGGTGTCGCTGTTACCAGTTTGGTGCACAGTGAGGTTTTCTTCCTGTTCATCTGTGGCTCTGGGGTTTGCTGTTTTAGCTCTCAGATTTAATTGTGGTTGTAGATCTGTGAAACATTTCCGTTGTACAGAGACAGGTGTGGGGTCCACTCCTCGCCCCCCCGCCCCCTCATCGCCCACAGCCATTTGGGGCGCCGTTTCTCGTGCCCTTGGTTTGTCCTCATAGTGGGGGTTGTCTGTTTTGTTTTTGAACCGCTGCGCACTGGCCTGCCCCTTCGCCATTTCTTGGTAACTTGGAGTCATGCCCAACGCAGCACCCTGCCTCCTTCCCTGCCTGCCTGTGTCTCCCTCCATGTGCCCATGTCCAGGGGTCACATTCCTGGTCACTGGGCTGTCCCACCCTCGCCCAGGGTGGTGGGACAGGTCTGCGCGGGACCAGACTGGATCCTGAGAGAGGGGCTGTGGGTCAGGAGGAGATTCTGTTTGCAGGAGCCGACTGGACCGTGGAAGCCTCCCGCAGTCCAGCTTTCACCCATCGGAAAACGGGCCAGGCCCAGCCTTGCGCTGCTGAGACCTTGCCCCGCTCAGCGTCATCTCTTCTTCCTTCCTAACTCCTCTTGCTTTGACTGTCACTGCTTTTCAGCTGTGTGTGCGTGTCTGTGTGTGCGTGTCTGTGTGTGCGTGCGTGCACGTGTGCGTGTCTGTGTGTGCGTGCGTGTCTGTGTGTGCGTGCGTGTCTGTGTGCGTGTGTGCACGTGTGCGTGTCTGTGTGTGCGTGCTTATTCTCCCCAGTAATGGCAGTGATCAGTGTTTGTGTTGCAGGCGGCAGAATCGTGTCCTCGAAACCTTTTGCACCTCTGAACTTCAGAATAAACAGTAGAAACTTGAGCGGTAAGAGACTCACGTCGTTACGTTGTTCGTGTGTAACTGTAATCTGATAACCATGAAGGTGGAGGGGTGTCCCCCTTGGTACTGCTGACGTGGGGGCTGGATCTTTCTCTGGGGTGGGGCTGTCCTGTGCACTCTAGGGTGTTGAGCAGCAGCCCCGGCCTCCACCCACTCTCAGCCTCTAGCATCCCCCCAGTCATGACAACCAAGAATGTCTCCAGACATCACCCAGTGTTCCCTGGGGGCAGAGGCGTCCCGGGTGAGGACCAGCTCTCAGAGAAGTATATATGGAAGTGAGCCGTGTTCTGTAGATTTAAGCTGGATAGGCCTGAGGCCCTGGGCATCGGCCACGTGGGAGGTGGCCCCGCATTTAAGCGCCTGCTGTGTCTAACATGGGGGGCCGGCAGGCGGTGGCTGTGTTGTCTGGGCGACGTGTGTCCGCGACCTTCAGGGTCCCACGGAGCTCATGGCAGCGTGGCACTGCACGCCCTGCGGTCACCTGCTTTAGTCGGGGGCTTGGCACGCTCTGGTCATGCTCTGCGTTCTCCTCAGATCCTGTTCGGTCATTTTAGAGGTGGTTCAGGCAGGCTTGTCTGCCATCTCGCTCTGACAAGACCTTCCAGGTTGGGGGCCCCTGCCGAGCATCACTCATCCTCTGTGCACCCTCATCCGACAGGGTCCCCTGCCCTGGCGACCCAGGCGGCCTGTGGCGTGGCGAGGAGCAAGGTTGGCAGCCAGGCCCTCTCCTCTTTTGTGTGCAGATATCGGCACCATCATGCGTGTCGTGGAGCTGTCGCCCCTGAAGGGCTCAGTCTCGTGGACGGGGAAGCCGGTCTCCTACTACCTGCACACTATCGACCGAACCATAGTGAGTGCCGCGCCTGCCTGCGCCTCCCTCGCTGCCCGGTCTCTGCGGTCCTGGGGGGGGGCATGGCCCGGGGGGCCCACGGCCAGGCTCTGTTCTCACTGCCACCACGTGCACACCCACACATACACGCGTGCACGCCTCGTGTGGGTGAGCCACGAGGCCCCAGAAGTGGGCCCTCCTGAGCGGTGCTGCAGGGTCTTCTGTCCTCGGGTGAGACGTCCCTCAGGTAACCTAGTGGCTGCTGTGTCTCTTCCCGCCCTCCGTTCTGTGGGTCACCCTCAGAGAAGGTGACCCTTGTCATGAGCACGCATCCCTGTGCTGAAGCGCATTTCCTCGTGGGCTCCTCCTTCCAGAAGCGAAGTCACATTCTGGTGTCACGTGCCACCCGAGCCTGTGTGGGCTGAGGGCGCCGGGCTGGCTGTAGCTGTGTTTGGCGGCTGAGGCAGGGATGACGGGCCGGCCTGGGTGGGGGCAGGCTGTGCACGTGTGGCCGCGGCGTGGGACAGCCTCCTGACACTGTCCCAGGGGTCCTCGGTTTTATCTGGGGCATTGCTTTTGTTCTTACAGATTTGGGTCTGACTTCTCGTAACTTGTTTTTTCTTTTTTAGCTTGAAAACTATTTTTCTAGTCTGAAAAATCCAAAACTCAGGGTAAGTTTGTGTCTGTTGTGATTTAATAGCATGGATGGAGCTTACAGAGGGGCTGGTGGAGTGAGGCAGGGGGCAGGGGGGTGTCCCGCAGATCCGCAAGTCGGGGTCCGTGAGCAGGTGCCCTTCCCCGTCGCCCCGTCCTCGGCTCTGAGAACAGAGGCTTCACCTCACCTTTAACAGATCCTGTTGGGCCATCCTTCTTGTGAATGAAGCTGGAGGGGTGCGTCGCGGTGCTGGGGAATGAGGAGGAGTGTGTGTGTGTGGGAACGAGAGTGTGAGATTTGGCACATGGTACCTGAGGACACGTCTGAGGAGCTGTGTCTGCATCAGCCAAGACGAACTGGAATGTTCTGTGCCTTCTGTGTGTGTGGAGGCTGGGCACCACTAGGCTTTGCTGTCCAGCACCTCCGATGGGCTCCCTCGCCCCATGGGGCCCTGCCCGCACCCCCAGTGGAAGGTGGGCCAGCTCCGTTGTCCCGGTGCTGTGTCTGCCTGGTGCTGCCTCGCCCAGGCTCACGGATGCCTGTTTGTCTGCAGAGCTGAGAGGGCACCCGTCTGAGTGCTCTTTCTCTTTGGAGATGGAGCCAGCTGTCAGGCGTGAAGGGGCCTCCTGGAGGGGCTGCCCAACTGCCGCGGCATTTCTAGACAAGAGGCTGGGCCCGGGAGTGGGGCGGGGGATGGCTCAGCTCCACCTCCCCACGGGGTCGGCAGCACTGGCCTCAGAGCCAGCGTGAGGTGTCTGTGTGTGTGCGTACAAGGTGTCTGTGGGCACAGGTGTTTGTGTGTGTGTGTACAAGGTGTGTGCACAGGTGTCTGCACAGGTGTCTGTGTACAAGGTGTTTGTACAGGTGTCTGTGTGTGTACAAGGTGTCTGTGTGCACAGGTGTCTGTGTGTACAGGTGTCTGCACAGGTGTCTGTGTGTGTACCAGGTGTCTGTGTACCAAGTGTCAGTGTGCACAGGTGTCTGTGTGTGTACAACGTGTCTGTGTGCACAGGTGTCTGTGTGTGTACAACGTGTCTGTGTGCACAGGTGTCTGTGTGTGTACAAGGTGTCTGTGCACAGGTGTCTGTGTGCGTTTGGATAAGGTGTCTGCACAGGTGTCTGTGTGTGTACAAGGTGTCTGTGGGCACAGGTGTGCACGTGACTGCTGGGGGCCTGGCTGCGTGTGCAGCTTCCTCACCTGTGCAGTGGGAGAAGGATTTGAAACGAGGCTGTTCTCCTGGACCAAGGCCACAGACCTGTCTCCAGCGTGTGTCCCCCTCGACACTTCACTTTCTGGGTTCTCATCTGACGTTTCCTTTTTAGGAGGAACAAGAGGCAGCTAGGCGCCGGCAGCAACGGGAGAACAAGAGCAACACAACCACTCCAACCAAGGTCCAGGAGAGCAAGGCGGCAGTCCCCGCGGACACCCCCGTGGTAACGCACCCCAGGCCCCGCTTCTCCTGTCAGGTCCCAGCTGCCCTGAAGTCCTTCCGCGCAGGGCGTGTCGGTCAGCGCAGGGAGGGCTGGGGGGTGGGGGTGGGCCACAAGGCTCTGACTGCCCCCACCCCGTACCTGCCAGGACTCTGGTGCTGAGGATGAGAAAGCCGGGGCCACCACTGTCAAAAAGCCATCCCCCTCCAAAGCCCGCAAGAAGAAGCTGAACAAGAAGGGACGGAAGATGGCTGGCCGGAAGCGTGGGCGCCCCAAGAAAATGAGCACTGCAAACCCCGAGCGCAGACCCAAGAAGAGCCAAACCGCACTGGACCTCCTGCACACGCAGACCGTGCCCCAGACTGCCCCGTCCTCGCCTCAGGGTGCGCGGGCCCCGGGGCGCTGGGGGGCTCGTTGAGCTGACTGTCAGGGAGCCAGGCTCTGGGCCTGGGGAGGGGCCCCATCTGCCGCCTCACTTCCCGGGGTCTCACTGTCTTGTCGGGGGCCGTGTCTCGCCGGCTCAGGGTCCTGCCGTCTGCAAAACCTTGGCCCGTTTGCTAGAGCAGAGAGGGTGGCGTGAGGCCCAGGCGGCTTTCTCAGAGCTAAGCCAGATCTGGTCTTCGGGGTTAACGGGCTTCGCTTCAGTACTGCCGAGACGTGGCTTTGGGTAATTTTTAGAAGTGCTGGGGTCCCTGGGTGGCGCGCTCTACTAGCTGGAAGATTGGTGGTTTGAACCCACCAGACACACCTTGGAAGAAGGGCCTGGCGTTCTGCTTCTGGAAGGTCCCAGCCTTGCAAGTCCTGTTGGGCACAGTTGTGCTGTGTACGCGTGAGGTCACCAGAAGTCAGTTCCTCAGTGGCCACCAACAGGAGCAGAAGTGCTGAGCCTGGCCTTTGAAACCCGGGGACTCAGGTCGGGAGACCCTGGGGCGCTTCTGGGGTGCGGACGTGCTGCTGACGTGCCTGCCTGGTGTTCTCTCCCTGCACAGATGTGTACAAGTCACCTCACAGCCCGTTCTACCAGCTACCTCCGGCCGTGCAGCGGCACGCGTCCAGCCCGCTGCTGGCGGCGCCCACCCCTCCCGCGCTACAGAAGCTGCTAGGTGAGTGCCCTTGACCCCCGGCTGGGCTCCAGCGGCTGGGCGGGAGGGCAGTCCGCAGGGCGCCTCCGGCTGGGTGCAAAGTCATGGAGCAGCTCCGCCTCATGGGGCCTGGCCGAGGGTCTGCAAAGCCCACAGGCTCCCCTGTGGGAGGCTCGGCCCCTGCACGAGTGGACAGGGTGGGGCAGGCACTGGCACCAATGATATGGGAGGACACCAAGGGCCCTCCAGGCCCCTGCAGACACGCTACTCCCTTTACCCCTCTCTCTGCTTAATCTCGGTTTGATGTTTTTTGTTTTTTTTTTAAAAACAAGTCTGTGATACTTAACCAGCTAGTAAGGGCTCACAAAGCAAAGCTGAGCCAGCACCATAACTCTGGAAGGCAGCACTCGCGGGCTCGCCTCCCTGGCCAGCAGACAGCGGCAGGTGGTGATGGATGACGCCGGGGCAGTGCTGTGGTCGTCAGCCACCGGCCGCCCCGACAGGTTTCCCCGTCAGGCTGGTCGTTTGTACTGAAAGCTCTTTGCTTTCAGCTCCACTCTTCTGCAGAACCCTGTATCCTCTCTCCTTCTTAGAGTCTTTCAAGATCCAGTACCTGCAGTTCTTGGCGTACACAAAGACCCCGCAGTACAAGGCCAACCTGCAGCAGCTGCTGGACCAAGAGAAGGTGAGTCAGCCACGGGGAGACGGGGCCTGTCACTCGGCCCGCTGCTCCACCAGCCGGAGAGTTCTCCAGAAGGGCTGACATTGGCCTCCTGGAGGGCCACTCGTGGGCTTCCTTGGCCGCCCCTCACCTGCCAAGCGCCCGCTGAGGAGTTCTTCAGGTTGGCTGTGTCCTCGCTGGGGACCAGAAGGTGCCCAGCTCATAGCCCCACAGGTGGCACGTGGCAGGAGGCGGAGCTGGAGCTGGAGCTGGGATTGAGCCTCGGCATGACGGCTGAGACGTTTGGAGGGGGCACGCCCACCTGGGGACCACAGCCGCCCCCACAAGCAGCTGCAGGCTGGGTGGGCCTAGGCAAGCCATGTTTCCAGGAAGCTCTCAGGTGTGCCAGTGCACTAACACCTCCCTTCTCTAGCTAAGGGGTGCGGTGGCTCAGGGAGGGAGCACCTCTGTGGCAGAGCCACACTGGGGGGACTGTTGGGAGGTGGCCAGCATCACAGCGGCCCCCCTGGCTCAGTTCCTCAGGCACCGGGCTCCCCGTCAGGCTGAGTGAGGCCCTGGGGCTGTTAGGTGTGCCTGCTGGCCGGCCATGCGCTCAGGCCAGGACTGTACCGCCAGGGAGGTGGGAGGCCGTGGGTGCTCCTGACTCTCTGCGAGCCTTCTCTTGACTGGGGTGACTTGGTGGTCATCAGGGCCGTCTGTGGCACCGACACTCGGGGGACAGGACTTTCCCTGTCATCCACACTGGGTCTGCATGGTTGGACGGAGCCCCTCAGCGGCTGAGCTGCCCCACCCTCAATCCCGTGGCACTGTGTATGGAGCTGTGCGGTGGCCGCCACGCTTCTAGCGCGGTGTGTCTGGAGCCCCCGGGCCCTCTGGTGTTCTGGCGCCGGGCGAGCCAGCTTTCAGGGGAAACCTGTTGGGCCGGCCGGCAGCTGGTGTTCTGGATGGCCGTTAGTGGGCATGGGGACTCCAGGGGCAAAGCCAGGACCTGTCTCGGCATGGCCTCAGCTGGCGCTCCCCGTGGGCTGTGCGCTCCCTGTGAGCGCTGCCCCTCCGGCTGTCCTGACGGAGGCTGAGCCTGGGCTCCCTCCCGAATCGCCTCTGGCACGGGGTAAGAGCTTGGCCGCTAACCAAAAAGCTCAGCAGTTGGAATCCACCAGCCGCTCCTTGGAAACTATGGGGCAGTTCTCCTCCATCCTGTAGGGTCAGTGTGAGTTGGAATCGACTCGACGGCAGCGGGTGCTTGGCCTCCTGTGTTGGTTTGGATGTGGTTGTGGGTGGTTTTTATGTGCGCGTGTGACCTTCACTCACCTTCACCCACTGTTTGTCCCCTTTGCCCTCTTCTCTCCCCCGCACACGTGCATGCACATTCACGCACTCGTGCCGACACGCTCACGTGCGCACAGCTACGTGTGTGCACTGCTTGAATCATTGCGTTTATAAAGATCGGCACAAAGCTGCTTCCTGCCAGGCAGAGGTTAAAGATGTCCCAAATGTCCAACGTTTCCAAGCTGCTGCCCACTCCATCAGCTCTACCACCACCCTCTCCCCCTCTCCTCAGTACCCTCCCCGAACCCTTGTACTTAGAGTTAAGTGGTTTATTAGGGAAGTAACGGTACAAGCCGGGATCAGGATCAACTTAGAAGGATGAGACACAGCTCAAGATGCAGTTCCTCCGTCAGGACAGCCTCTCGCCCTCTGCCGCGGGGCCCTGCTGGGGGCCTTCTTGGGCAAGTGTTAAAACTCTTAGCTCCGTGGGTCAGAAGCCCCACCACAGCTGTCCCACGCTGGTCTCCTGGTTCCTGTCCCCGTGCCGCCATCTCTCACTGCCTTCTGTGTCACAACTCTTCCTTTTCTCCATGTCTCCCTTGAAGCCTAGTGGGATGGCAAAACTGACCAGTCCCCTCATCAGTGTTCATGCACCTTATTTGCATGGCACCAGAGTGCCATGTACCTTATTTACATTATCAGCAGGCTGTCCAATCCTTCGGTGGGCCGCAAGCACCCCCATTTGCATAGCCCCACCCAGTCATCTGGTGGAGGTCACAAAGACTGTGGCTAGGAGGACCATATTAAGGAATGCACTGCACCGCACACATCAACGTGCACGCACGTGTCTTCTTTCTGAACCTTTCGCAGGAAGTAGGTGACGCCTGGCTCTTTGAACCCGTCTTAGTTACCTTTGTTGTTGTTAGGTGCCATCGAGTCAGTTGTGACTCAGAGCGACCCTACGCCCAGTGGAATGCAGCACTGCCCTGTTCTGGGCCACGCTCGCGGTCGCTGCTGCTGAGACAGAAATACCACGAGCGGATGGCTGAAACAGTCCCATTTATTCTCTCACAATCTAGGAGGCTAGATGTCCAAATTCAGGGTGCCCGCTCCAGGGGAAGGCTCTCCTCTCTGTCAGCTCTTGCAGAAAGTCCTTGTCATCAGTCTTTACCTGGGTCTAGGGGTCTCCGTGCAGGGATCCTGGGTCCAGTGGTCGTGTTCCACTCCTAGGTCTTCTTTCTTGGTGGTACCAGGTTCCTCTATCTCTGCTGCTTTCTTCTCTTGTGAGATAAGAGGTAATGGAGGCCACACCCCAGGGGAACTGCCTTACCTGGGATCAGGGCTGTGACCTGAGTAAGGCTGTGGCATCTTGTCAGATAACACCCTGGGGGATGATTCCGTCCTTATGTAACTACCAAACCACCAAGTTGACATGTGTTTTTGGAATAGACTGTTCAATCCGTGACAGCTCCTAATCACCTCAGGGAGTGTTTCCCATGCCCAGCAGTGTCCCTCCTCGACCACAGCTCTCTGCAAAATGGGGGAACTCAGCAGTAACACGATGTGTCCCCCACCCCCGACTCACACAGTGCCGCAGACCCCACCCTGTGCTGGGCTCCACGTCCCCCTCTCCTTTCACCAGGACAGCGCCTGTCCTTGCCTTTCGTGGCCTAGACACTTGGAGGGATCCAGCCAGGTGCTTTGGAGCCTATCCCCAGGGTGGGCCTGCCTGCTGCTGCCCGCAGTGGCTGGGACGCTATGTGTCTGGGAGGAACCCCTGATGTAGAATTCGGTCCTCTGTGCAGCATCTTGGGAGGCACGCAGGGTCTGCGGTCCCATCGTGGGGATGTCCACCTCACTCCTGAGGTGCAGAGGTGCCAGCGGGGTCCTTGGCTGTTGTGTGGCTATTGGCCCGTTTTGATTAGTGGCTGACTGAGGGGAGCTACCTTGTGCTCTGCACGTGCCCCGCTCCCGGGCTGTTGTTGACCGTGTGCTGCAGCTGACGGCCGTCTGCAGACGGGTCTAGAGCAGTCTTGGGTGACTGGTGGTGGTCTGGGCTCCTTTCTCTGTGTCACGGGAGGGCGCTCACCCCGCTGCCTCCTTGGGGGACAGTGAGGAGCTGGAGTGTCCACTAGCCTCAGGCGGTTAGGGCAGGCCCTTTGGTGGAGCGGGACTCTGAGCAAGTCCTCGTGGCCTGACCGGCTCGGGTGTTGGCTGCCGTTGGCCTGTCCCCATGAGCCCGCTGGCAGAGGCAGCACCACTCGGTCCTTGAGCTACACGTGGGCTGGGTGGGGCAGGAGCCCGCGGGCGGCCCCGGTAGGGCCGCCTCACCGCCTCGGTCCCGTCCACAGGAGAAGAACGCCCAGCTGCTGGGCGCTGCTCGGCAGCTCTTCAGCCACTGCCAGGCGCAGAAGGAGGAGATCAGGCGGCTCTTCCAACAGAAGCTGGACGAGGTGGGCCGAGGGGCTGGGTGGGCCTGAGTCCTGGCTCTCTGGACTTGACTAGAGAATCTTTCAGTGGGACAGCTCAGAAACTGCCCCTGCCAGTGTCCCCTCCCCATATCCCGCACCCCAAGCCCAGGGAGGTCAGTGCTGGCCCCTTGGGGAAGTCCCTGCATTCCTGGCCAGGTGCTCACCTCTGGCGGCTGCATGTCCCTGTCTGTCCCCAGCTGGGTGTGAAGGCCCTGACCTACAATGACCTGATCCAAGCACAGAAGGAGATCTCTGCGCACAACCAGCAGTTGAAGGAGCAGACGGAGCAGCTAGAGAAGGACAACCGCGCGTTGCGGGGCCAGAGCCTGCAGCTGGTGCGTGCCCCAGGGGATGCAGCCGGGAGGGTGGACAGGCCGCGCAGAACTCTGGCCAGGAGTTCTGGGCCCGGGTCGGCCAAGGACTGGGGTGCCGGTCGTCTCCGATGCCCTTGGTGTGCCTGCTTGGCCCTGGGCTCCACGGCCTCTCTGGTCTACAGTGAGAGTCTGGAAGCCTCCCCTGAGCCTCCCTGCTGCGAAGCCCACTCTCGGACTCACTGTCAGGGCCCTCGGAGACTCCTTTAGCGCGAGTGCACGCCGCGTCAGGCCGGGGCCACTCTCTAGGGTCCTCGGGAGCGTTCCCAGGAAGCGTGCCATTTCTGTTTATGGCAGTCCTCTCTTCTGACCCGCGGTACCCAGCCACCCCACAGGCTGGGCCTCTTGACAGGTCACCAGAGTCCCCCCACAGGACCCCATGGCCACGTCCCACACGGGCTGTTCAGCCACACAGGCATTCCACACTTTGCTCCAAACGTGGGAGAGCAGAGATGCGTCTTGTTTCTCTTGTCACGGACAATAGACTGTATCATGGACAGTAGACACCTCAGCCTTCTGGAAGCAGGGTTGCCTGCTGCAGGAGCACAGACCCTGACAGGCAGCCCTAGATACCCCCTGGTTTGGAATGCAGTGTCGGGGCCCTCCCTCCCTTTGCCCACAGCAAGTGTGCCCTGGGGAGGCCGCCTGGCCGGGGTCTCATGGCAGCGGTTGTCCCCTGTCCCTGCAGCTCAAGGCTCGGTGTGAGGAGCTGAAGCTGGACTGGCCCACCCTGTCCCTGGAGAAGCTGCTGAAGGAGAAGCAGGCCCTCAAGAGCCAGATCTCCGAGAAACAGAGGCGCTGCCTGGAGCTGCAGGTGGGGCGAGCCTCACCAGGCCCGACGGCGCGTGTTATGAATGTGCTGAGCTGTGTCTGTGGCCTGTGAGGACGGATCGTTAGTTTTAGGGGTTGTCTTGGTGGGAACATCCTAGAAGGCTCCCTCTTCCACTCTCAGGACAGAGGCGATTAGGACAAGCATGCACATCTCATTTGTGACCACGAGAGAGTGTCCGTTCTCCGTCCTGCTCTTGTGACTCAGGAGAGATAGGGTTAGGACGCCCTGACTCAATGACCTCATTAACATGACAGAAGACAACTCTGTTTCCAGCCAGGGTAGCATGCACAAGCCAGGGTTTGGGGCTCCGACACGTAACTTGAGGGGGGACACGGATCAGTCTGCACCACTGTGCGTCCCTGGTCATGTGCTGTCTTCCAGAACGTCTTTCCACGTCAGCGGACACGCACCTACAGAGCTGTGCATGGTCCTTGCACGCTGTCTTAGTTGCCCGGGCTGCCTGGCTGCCCGCCCGTGAGAGCTAGCTCTTGTAGCCTTCCACTGCAGCGGCCAGTCTGGGTGTGCCTCCCTGGGTGTCCTGAGTGGGACGCCCTGTCGCCGGGCTGCCCGCCAGCACGGCGGTGGCACTCACACCCTTGCCTTGCCCTCCAGATCAGCATCGTGGAGCTGGAGAAGAGCCAGCGACAGCAGGAGCTGCTGCAGCTCAAGTCCTACGTGCCAGCGGATGAGGCCCTGTCCGTGCACCTGCGTGGGAAGGGCGCGCTGAGCCGGGAGCAAGAGCCCGACCCCAGCCGCCTCCACCTGGAGCTCGACTGCGCCAAGTTCTCGCTGCCCTCCTTCAGCAGCCTGAGCCCGGAGCTCTCCATGAACGGCCACACGGCCAGCTATGAGCTATACAGCACACTCAGCCGGTCCTCGTCCAAGCAGAACACCCCTCAGTACCTGGCCTCGCCCCTGGACCAGGAGGTGGTGCCCTGCACGCCCAGCCATGGTGGCCGGCCACGGCTGGACAAGCTGGCTGGCCTGGCCCTGCCCGACTACACACGGCTCTCCCCGGCCAAGATTGTGCTGCGGCGCCACCTGAGCCAGGACCCCGCTGCCAACGGGAAGGCAGCCGCCGGCGAGCTGCACCCGCGGTGAGTGCCAGGCTGGCGTGGGGCAGGCACTTGCTCTGACGTCCGGGCCCTGGGGTGACGGTGCTTCTCGTTCCAGCGTGGAGCACGCCAAGGAGAATGGCCTCGCCTATCAGAGCCCCAGCATCTCCAGCAGCATCAAGCTGAGCCCACAAGACCCTCGGCCCGCGTCCCCCGTGGCCTTACAGATGGCAGGGGACAAGGGTGGCGAGAAGGTGAGGGACTGGAGCCCCACGCAGGGTCTGTGGCAGGGGACAGCAGTGTGGACCTGGCGGAGTCAGGGAGGCCAGTACTCTGGGGCGCCTGATTCAGGCCTTAACAGGTGGTGATCTCGTGGCAGAGGGGGCAGGTTTGTTCACGTGCTTTTGAGGAGGTGGGCTGGAGAAGTGTGGGGAAGGTCCACTTGAGGGAACTTGGGGATTTGATGGGGTAGGGCCATGCAGGGTAGCGGCCCACCAGGTTAGGGGGTCAGTAGGAGGAGCAGGGCTGGGCGTGGGCAGAGAGGTGGGTCCAGGAAGGCTTGACTCCACGGGGTGGGTGGGAGCTGGCGGCATGACGGAGGAGTCTTCAACCCCCGTGGTGGCTCCAGCCTGGGCTGGGTGGGATCCCCCGGGGATGCTGTCACTCTATGCGCAGGCCACAGCGGGCGGGGTGCCATCAGTGGAGGGGGCCTCGCGGTCTGGGGCTGGGGTCTGCGTGGCCCGTGTGGCTGCACGGGCTGGGCCCGTGACCACCGGGGTCTGCCACAGGGCTTGAAGGAGCGCCCCTACGGCAGCGGCAGTGAGACCATCACCAGCCTGCCCGTCAGCATCCCGCTTAGCACCGTGCAGCCCAACAAGCTCCCAGTCAGCATCCCCCTGGCCAGTGTGGTATTGCCCAGCCGTGCTGAGCGAGCGGTGAGTGCCCTCGTGGACAGGCCATCCCAGCCGCCCGCCGCCCAGACCTCCCCGGGCTCCCAGCCTGAAGCCCAGTCTCCCTTCTGCTCCAAGCAGCTGTTGTGCTGGGTAGGTGCCGTGCTCCAGTCCACCTCCGTTCTCCCCCCGGGCGTGGGGTTAATGAGACGGGACTCCCATGCTGTGTGGTCCACCGTGTTTCAGTGAACAGCCTGGTGGAAGTGCAGCCGTCACTACTGCCTAGTTAGGGAGCTTTGCAGCACCCCAGAAGGAAGCCCTGTGCCCGCCAGCAGTTACTCCAACGCCTCTCCCGTGCAGCCAACCCACTGCATTAGCACCCCTGGCACCTTTACCAGGCCCCGGCCTCCGCCCTGCCCTGTATGGTGCCGTGACCCAGGCCTGTGTCCTCGGCCTGCAGCTCTGCCCTGTGTCCCTGCTCCCTCAGGCCTTCTCCAGCTCTGCTTCGCCCAAGCGTCAGACAGCCATCTCTCCCCTGCTCACAGCCTTTCGGTGGCTCCCCCCACGTGCAGACCCCCAAGCAGGCCCTAGAGGGCCCTTCGCAGGGGTCGCTAGTGATGCCTCTGTCCTTGTCTCCTGCCACTCAGACTCCTGCTGTCCCCCCAGCCCCACCAGAGTCCCATTATCTGTGGCTCCTGCTGGAGGCTGCCCTTCACGGACCGTTTCCTGATGACGCCATGTTGTTTTCCCTCGGCAGAGGAGCACCCCGAGCCCTGTGCATCAGAGCCGTGACCCCTCCTCCTGCCTCGACAAGCAGATCGGTGCTAACCCCCATGGCGGTGCAAACAGTGCTGCTGGAAGCAGAGGCCTGGCCCTGGCGCCTGCAGGTACGGCTGCCTGCTCTCTGCCCCAGGGTCTGGGTTCGTACATCTGGGACTCTTTGAGTGTGCTAACCTGGCCAAGGCTTACCAGTACATGAAGCCCCGTCCCCGTTGAGTGGCGCTGTGAGTGCCAGGGCTCCAAGAGCCTGTCCGTCCTGGTTCAGAAAGTTGCAGCTCTTGACGAGTCTGGGATGCTAGTACAGGCTTGTGTCCAAATAAACCCCTTTTATGGCCCAGAGAGCAGGTACTGTCAGCTTCTTGGGCCACATGGTCTCCCGCAGCTCCTCAGCCCCGCCGTGTGGCCTGAACGCAGCTGGAGACGCTAAAATGGTTTATTTACAAAATCAGGCCAGGGCTCGATTTGGCTGCCAGCCCCGCTTTGCCAGCTCCTGTAATAACAGAGGGAGGGTTGGGTGAGGCCATGGCCGCTGGCTGGGGGCCTGAGCTACAAGGTCAGCTCTGCTGCCTGCCCCTGGCCCGGCTCTCCCATTCTGTCCTTCCCCTCTCCACCCGGGAGCTGTCGGCCTCACTGGCCCGTCTTGTGATCTGTTCCGCTTCATGCAAGATTACTAGAAACTTCCAAACCTAGTCCTGGTGCTGCAGGTTGTCTGACCCCCAGGAGCCCCCGTGGCTGCCCAGGCTCCTCCCTTGGGCAGCCCCCCAAGAAAGGTGCCCCATGCCTGGCTGGGCAGCTCTGCAGCCCTGAGGCTGCACAGCCCAGAGTGGTGGCCATGGGCCATCCTGAGATGCGTGTCCACCCTCTTGCAGGCTTCTCCTACTCTGGCTCGGTGGCCATCAGTGGGGCCCTGGCCGGCAGCCCGGCAGCCCTCGCCCCTGGGGTCGAGCCAGCCACCTTCGACGAGTCTTCGGGCTCAGGCAGCCTCCTCGCCACCCTGGGCTCACGCAGCTCCACCCCACAGCACCCCTCCCTGCTGGTCCAGGCCCGCAGCTCCGGCCCGGCCTCCCCCGCCCACCAGCTCTCGGGGAGCCCCCGGCTCGGGGGTCCTTCCCAGGGTGCGCTCTCCGACGCCGCCGGCAGGGGCGACCTGCCATGCGACGCAGGCTTCTCTGACCCCGAGAGCGAGGCCAAGCGCAGGATTGTTTTCACCGTGGCAGCCAGCACAGCGGGTGCCCGGCCGTCCCCCTCCAGCAAGCACAGCCCCCTGGCCAGCAGCACCCGTGGGGATGGCGGACAGGGCCACGGGCAGGACAGCCGGAAGCGAGGCCGCAGGAAGCGCTCATCAGCAGGCACCCCCGGCCTGAGCTCGGGCGTGTCCCCCAAGCGCCGGGCCCCACCGTCTGTCGCCGGGCTCTTTACGCAGTCCTCGGGGTCCCCCCTGAACCTCAACTCCATGGTGAGGGGGGTACTAGGGGGGATGGGTCCTGGGGATGCTGCTGGTGGAGACTGGTGGGGGAAGTGACCAGGGGCTGTGGGGGTCCCCAAGAGCCACCTGGGGGTCACATTCGGGGACCTGCTGGTGCCCAGAGGCCTGGCCCCTATGCTTACAGCTTGCGAGGTGGGAGGGTTGACCCCAGACTCGCGAGGTGGGGGCAGCAGGAGGGCCTGGGTGCACACACAGCTGCTGGGATTCTTTTGCATCGGGGTGAGCTGCCGTCTGTCTGTGCACTCTCAGGTCAACAACATTAACCAGCCCCTGGAGATCACGGCCATCTCGTCCCCCGAGAACTCCCTGAAGAGCTCGCCCGTCCCCTACCAGGACCATGACCAGCCGCCTGTACTCAAGAAGGAGAAGCCGCTGGGCCAGACCAACGGGGCCCACTACTCGCCCCTGACGTCGGACGACGAGCAGGGCTCCGAGGATGAGCCCGGCAGTGCCAGGCCAGCGTGGGGCACGGGGCGCGTGGGTGGGCCCTCCTGGTCAGGCAGTGACCCTCCGCAGGGCGGGGACATATGCAGTGAGGGGGTCAGGCAGCACCTTAAAAGTTATCTTCGCTGCTCAGATGCAGCGTCTGGAAGCTCCAGGGAGGCCTGGCACCTTCCTGATGTTCAGCTGAGTCTCAGATGGGGCCGGGCCGGAGCCAGCGCTCTGTGAGCCCACTCCATGTCAGCAGGCGCCAGGATGCCCCGTCGCTGGTTAGGAGGTGAAGAGACGGGGGTCTGGGGAAGATGGAGTTCGTATCCTACCAGCACTTCTGCCCAGTTTAGTTGGTTGTCGGGAATTGTTTGTTTTGAACAGCTCTGTTGAGACAGAAATGACACGCCATATGATTCACCCTTTTAAAGTGTACAGCTGGATAACTTAGTGTGTTCACAGCACGCGTAACCGTCACAGTCTATTTCCAGAGCGTCCCACCACCCTAGAAAGAAGCTCTGTGCCCATCAGCGTCACTCCCCGTTCTCCCCTCCCCCAGCCTTGCAACCACTGATTGGCTTGGCTCTGGGTTTGCCTGTTCTGGACGTTTCACATCAGTGGGGTCGGGCACTCCACGGTCGTTCGTGTCTGCTTCTGTCCCTGGGCACCGCGTGCTTGAGGTTCATCTGTGTTGTAGCATGTATCAGGGCTTCACTTCTCCTCATGGCTGAATATTTTGTTGTGGATGGACCACACTGTGTTCGCCCATCGCCTGTGGATGGACACTTGGGCTGTTGCCACCTGTTGGCTGCTATGAACATTGTGTGTCTGCTTTGAAGTCTCGGCTACATACCTAGAAGTGGAATTGCTGGGTCATGTCCTGACATTTGTATTTCAGCGTGCAAGTGGATCTCAAACACTGATAATCTTTTTTCTTTTTCTTCTTAATAGAATTGAGAGGAAAATCGCAACAATCTCCTTAGAAAGCAAATCTCCCCCGAAAACCTTGGAAAACGGTGAGTAACATGTGGTCCCTGACTGCCTGCTCCCTCAGGGACTCCTGGGAGTGGCGTGGCTCGGCCTGCAAGGGTGGGGCCCCCCAGGCTTGGGGTCTGCGCCGCTCAGCCATCTGCACCCCACACGCTCCGTGTCCTGGCCAGCCAGAGGGTCCCTGCCCTGGCTGGGGAACCACACTGGGCTTCTAGAACCGTCTCGTCCTGCAGCACAGCCTAGGGACTCCTTGCCCCGTGTTCCCCGTGAAGCAGCTGTTCCCAGGTGGAGGGGCTGCGTGGCACCGTCCTACGCAGGGCCGGCCTCCGCATGCGCCGGTGTTGCGACCCTGGGCCCCTTTGGCTGTTGTCGGTGACAGTTTGAGTCTCGCGTCTAGTGAAACGGGTCGTCAGTGTTTCTTATGTGCACACCCGCTCCAGACGGGCATCTAACGCTGACGGTGACTGAGTCCCGCCTGTTCCATGCTTGGCTGCCCCGAGATCTCTCCCCGTCTGGGGACTGTTTCCCTCGGACGGTCTGCCCTTGTTCGGCGGGCACGCTTGTCAGCGGGTAGCTCGGGACCCTTGTGCGAACAGGGTCGGCGCTGGTCCAGCCAGCCGGGGGCCTGATGCCTGCGACCTCCCTCCCACCAGGTGGTGGCCTGGCCAACAGGAAGCCGGTGCCGGCCAGTGAGCCGGTCAACAGCAGCAAGTGGAAGTCCACCTTCTCGCCCATCTCGGACATCGGCCTGGCCAAGTCGGCCGACAGCCCACTGCAGGCCGGCTCCACCCTGAGCCAGAACTCCTTGTTTGCATTTCGGCCTGCCCTGGAGGAGCCCGGTGCCACTGATGCCAAGGGGGCCACACACCCCAGGAAGGGCTTCTCGGGCTCCTTGGCGGGGGTGGACGTGCCCAACCCGAGCACCAACCCCCCCAACGGGTTCGCCCTCGGCGGGTCCCTGGCCGCCGACCTCAGTTTACACGGCTTCAGCGATGGTGCTTCTCTCACCCACAAGGCCCCCGAGGTGGCCGGGCTGAGTTTCCCCTCCCAGCGGGGCAAGGAGGCTGGTGCCCCTGAGGCCAACCCCTTCCTGAGCAAGCGGCCGCTGGATGGACTGAGTGGCCTGAAGGGCGATGCCAGCAAGGCCCGTGAGGCCGGCGAGCTGGGCCCGACCTTGGGCGGTGCCTCTGAGAAGGCCACGCTGCCGCCCGGCGGGAAGGCAGGCCGAGGCCGGGACCGCGAGCTGGACTTCCCCCACGGCCATAACCTCTTCATCTCGGCCGCTGCTGTGCCCTCCGGGGGCCTCCTCAGCGGCCCGGGCCTGGCCCCAGCAGCGTCCTCTGCGGGCACCCACGCCCCCTCCACCCAGACGCACCGCCCCTTCATGGGCACCTTTGCCCCTGGCGCCCAGTTCACCCTGGGCCCCATGTCCCTGCAGGCCAACCTGGGCTCGGTGGCGGGCTCAACCGTGCTGCAGTCCCTGTTCAGTGCCGTGCCGGCCGCTGCGGGTCTGGTGCACGTGTCATCAGCAGCCACCAGGCTCACCAACTCGCACGCCATGGGCACCTTCTCTTCCGGAGTCGCGGGCGGAACTGTCGGAGGTAGGCGCGGCGCGTTTCTCCGCCGGCGTCTTGTTGCCGGCACCCGGCCCTGGGGCTTCTCAGGCAGGCGCGGCCCTCCGCTCCGTCTTCCGGAACCCCTCCAATGGCAGGCCTAACTACCACGCGCTCCGGTGTTCCCTTCCAGCATCCACTGTGGGGAGAGGCGGGGCTCGCGGCCTCTCCTTCCCCCTGTTGAGACTCGGGTGTGGCTGCCGTGTGGGTGGAGCTAGACTCTGAGCTGAGCTGTCAGGCTGGGCGTGGTGGCCCTTCCTTCTCAGAGAGGCACACACTGGTGGCCGGGGTGCTGCCTCCCCACGGAGGGGCTCTGGTTGAGAGTGACCACCTGCGGGTTCTGTGGGAGACCTCATGAGCTGGTCTCAGGGAGAGTGAGTCTGCAGAGTGTCCCCAAGCGCCGGCCGCAGACGGACCTGTTAGCTATGGTTCCATTGGGGGGGGGGGCACAGGCTCCGGACCTTCGCAGCCGGGAGTGGGTGGGGAAGGCGGGGCCTGTGTGCGGCTGCCTTTGCTGGGACATGGAGGGGCCGGAGAGAGGAGTGTGGTCCTGGGAGCCTCTGCCCTGGCTAGGCCACCTGCCTGCTCATCCTCGGGGCACGTGAGCCCACAGGTAAGTGCGCTATGGCTGCCGCTTGCTGCTCCGCCCCGCACAGGTGCTGCCCCCGGCTGCTGGCCGCGCCCTGCTGCTGCGTGTCTGCGTGTGTGCCTCTCCGCTTTGCTGGGACGTCGCCTGTTGAAGCTGCGTTTTTCTCTCCTGTCTGCAGGTGTCTTTAACCACGCGGTGCCTTCTGCCTCTTCTCATCCGTTCGGAGCCAGTTTCGGCAGCGGGGCTGTCTGTGGCAGCGCCACGCTGAGCTTAGCCCCGCTGCAGGCGGTGGCCAGCACCTCCGCCGCTTCCTTTCAGGCCCCGTCCTCTGTCGAGACCCGGCCGCCCCCGCTGCCTCCTGCTCAGCCCCTGGGCCGGCCTCCCCCTGCTCCTCCTCTTCCTGCGCAGCCTGGCCTCCCACCCCCTCTGCCTAACACCGCCTTGCCTCCTCCCCCGCCGCTGCTGGCACCTAACTCTGAGCCCGTGCTTCTGCAGAGCCTGGCGTCCCTCCCTGCTAACCACGCTTTCTTGCCCCCCGCCTCTGCCGCCTCCCTGTCGCCTGCTAACGCCTCTTTGTCTATCAAGCTCTCTGCTCTGCCTCACAAGGCCTCCCGCCCCTCCTTCACGGTCCACCGCCAGCCTCTGCCCCGGCTGGCCCTGGCGCAGGCTGCACCCCTCCTCCCACAGGCCAGCCCTGCCGCGCCCTCTGCGGTCTGGGTTTCCCTTGGCATGCCGCCTCCTTATGCCGCGCACCTTTCGGGGGTTAAGCCGCGCTAAAGAGCTTGCTTAGCTAGCCGTTCGTATTGTGTAAGGTAAGGCTAGAGCCCGACCAGGTGCTTCCTACGGGAATCCCACGCCCTTCCTTCTGCAGGGCGCAAGCGGGCCGCGGGGGGGCCTTTCCGCCCAAGTCCCTGCGTTCTGAGGGGTGCAGAGGAGCAAAGATACACACAGGAGACGGGAGACAGTGCGCTTGGCAGGAGGAGGGTGCTGTGTGAGGAGAAGCAGAGTGCGGGGCTGGCGCCGCCTGCGAGTCGCTTCTGTGACGGGGCTGGGGACGCGTCGTCTGCCAGCACACCGATTCCACAGCAGTGTCGGGAGGACGCGCCTTCTGGGGGACACAGGGCCACAGAAGCGGGGGTGCGGGGGCAGCCCCCCACTGGCTCTGGGTGGTGCTGTGGGCCGTGGTGGGCAAGGCCGTTTGAGGTCCCGGCTGGGGGCCAGGTGGGTGGGTCGGACTGGGCGGGTGTGTGGTTTCCGCCCAGGTCGATAGCAGACAGCACGGTGTCGCCAGCGCTGGGCTGGGGTGATGGGCTGGCTCTGCGCCTCCGCCTGGGGCCTCTCTGGCCTGCTGCCTGCTGGCGCCTCACAGGATCCCAGCAGCAGGGCGCGTGTGGCCCCCTGGCTGCACAGGGCTGTGTTCCGTGGATCCGCGTGGTAGATGAGGTCCTTTCCTCCAGGCACCTTGGCACCTGGGACGCGGGGCGGGCGGAGGCTGTTGCTTGTGGTTTCAGGACCTCTGAGTCCATGGGCCGTGTCGGAACAGCGGAGAAGGCTTTGGCCTTCAGAGGCACAGGACTGTATGGAGGCTGAGGGTGTCCCCATCCTGTGACCTCATGCTCAGGGAGCCCCGGCCGCTCCTCTGGGGCTGAGACAATGCTTGTTGGCGTGAGCACCCCGTCCCCGGAGGACATATCAGAGAGGCAGTTGCCGTGTAGGGGCACGCCTACCTGCCTGCCCGCCCCAGAAGTCTGGCTCGGGTGCTGGCGAGCCCAGTACTGCGGGGTGAGGAGGGTGTGAGCACTCGACCACGGCCTGTGCTCCCGAACAGTGTGACATGCAGTGAGGGTGGCCCGGCCCGGGTCATTGGAGCGAGCTGGGCATCGGCAATGGCTGTGGTCCTGCTGGGAGAGCCCTGTGGAGGGGGTGGCTTCTGCGCAGTCGGCCTCCTATCCCCAGGGAGCCAGGAGGCTCAGGCAGAGGACTCTGGGCCTCAAGCATTCCCGTCTGCGCCCGCAGGTGGGCACAGCTGTGCTGGGCCGGCACAGGGCTTCATTCTGCCTGCTGAGGGGCTCTCGTGCATCTCCATGTCACCATCCCGGGCCCCCACAAGCTGGATGGCCCCCTGCGGGGCCTCCTGGTCTCTGTCCCACTCAGTTACAGCTCATCGGTGTGGCCGCCGCCCGCAGACCCTGAGAGCAGCGATGGGCTGGGGCCAGGGGTGGGCGAGGCCCGGGCCCAGCGCCTCTCACACCCACTTCTGCTCCCGGGTGGTGGTTCTGGAGCGTGCCCACCTGCGCGCTAGGCACGGGGACTTGTCGGCCTTAGTCCGACCCTCAGATGGCAGGCACCCGGTCCGGACCAGGCCCCTGGGCTCCCGCCCGGCACGGTGACGAGCGGGGGGGGGCCGTGCACGCAGTGCTGGCTGGGGGTTTCCGTAGACGCTGACCCCGCCGGCTGCGGTCTGGGGGCCCGGGGCAGCTGCTGACTTGTGCTGCTCTCTCCCGCTGCCGGCCCGCAGGTAACTAGGACTTCTACCTCAGCCGCACGACTATGCAAGGACGGCGTGGACCAACGCGTGTGCTGCCCCCAGTGCTTGCGGCCGCAGGGCCACCACTGGACCGCGGAGGCGACAGGACGGAGAAGCTACTGTGAAGCTGCCGTGCGCCGCCAGGCCCGGGAGCGGCTCCCGCGTGCGCGTTGATAGTTCTAGATAAAGTATTTATCGGTTTTTAAAAAGTAAAAGCAACTCGGACCTATTTTATTCCATCTAAGTCGTCCAAGGCAACTCGCTCGGAAATAGAAATGTCTATATATAAGAAGATATCTATAGAGACACCTATGGAAGGACCGCCCGCCCGCCCGTCGCGGCGCCGCCCGCCTGGCTCGGTGCTATCTCGTCGTCGGCAGGCTGCGCCGCCTCCCGCTCTCCTGGTGCTGACTCTGGAGGCCGACCCGCTCACGTCCGCTCCCGACACGCCAGCTGCGCCTCCCCTGCCGAGCTGTCGCACGCAGAGGGGGCCCTGGTGTGTATCGTCCCTTCCTTAGAGAGGCCTCCCTTCCCGAGAACGGCCTTGCCCGAGTGTCAGACCCAGCTGGTCCTTGGGCCCCGCGCCTCGCAGCCTCCCCGTCCCGTCACTGTGAACGCTGCCCGACGAGACTGCTGCCCTCGCGGCCGAGGCTCACTGCCTTTGGCGTGTGGACAGGCCGCCGGGGCGCGGGGCGGCCAGGCCGTGTCCTGCCTGGCGAGGTGGGACGACAGCCCGGAGCCTGCTCCGAGGGACGGCTGTTGGGGAGGTCGGCTGCGCGCTCCCCAGCTTGGTTGGCCTTTGTAACAAGTGCATTTACTTTTGTACCCCTTAGCTTTTGTTCTGCTCACGCTGCTGGGCGCGCGGGGAGCTGGCGGTGCGCTGCTAAGGACGCAGGGCAGGGTGGCCGCGTGGGCCTGGTGTTTGTACAGAAGAGAGTCACGTTGATCCGTGACAGTATTTTATAGAGATGGGATGAAAGTTTATAAATTTCATAGACTCAATTTCATTTATTTTTATTGTATAATGCACAGTAAACTTTAAAAAAAAGGAAGAACTCAGGTGAGGGGAAGAAACGAACCTTCTTATTTACTCGAGTGCACAGATGGCAGTGGCTGGGCCGGCCTGGGGCCCAGACCGCGGTCACCGCCCGCACAGGAGCACACAGACCAGAGGCCCCGTGTCCACACGAGACGGGTGGAGCCCCTGCTGCCCTAGACGCTGTCCCAGCCAGGCCCCCGGCCTCCCCCCACGCTCCCACCCGTAGTCAGCCTTGTCTCGTTGGTGCTTGAGTGGACATGTTGGTGCAGACTCGGAGGGCGGGACTGTCCCGGGTGCTTCCTGAGCCATCAGCGAGGTTCTTTGGTCCTTTGGAACCCTCCTAGCAGTGTCTGAGCTGTCTAGAAACCAATGTCCCCGGCAGGTGGTGGCCGAAACCCTAGACCCCATCAGCAAGAGGCCGGGTGCCAGGTGGACAGACAGGGTGGGCCCGGGGAGCAGGGCGCCCCTGACCCTGAACATCAGGAGGCGAGTGGCTGGATGGGGCGGCCCAGCACATGGCCTGGGGGACAGGGAGCACCTCGTCCTTGCTGCTTGTTAGCTCCCTACCATGGTCATCCAGAGGCGGGTGGACAGATGGGGTGGCCCGGCACATGGCCTGGGGGGCAGGGAGCACCTTGTCATCCTTAGCGCTTGCTTGCTCCAGGGCAGTGTTCTCGAGGAGCCCCGGGGCACCTTCCTCTTGAAGGTGGGGCTCAGGCCTTGGGTTCCAATTGTACGTGGAGCAGCCTTGTGCTCCCTCCCGCCCACCTGCTCAACTGCACTGCAGACAGGACCCGCCCTGGATGGTGGGGAAGGCTTTCCACCCCTGGTCCCGATTCGCTGGGGTGGGGCGGGGCAGGTGCTCCGTGGTGATGCGCCCCCTCCCATCCCGACACCCACAGCTGCCTCGGCCTCTGACCCCCACCCCCCAGCAATAGTCATTGGGATATGAAGATGGTGCTCGACCTGGTTTTGAAACCCGGCCGTCCTTGTTCAATCTCCCCCTCCTCGCGTTGGTGCTCGGCTCGTGGGTGCTGCCTCGCTGCTCCAGTCCTCGGTGCCACCTTGCTCGGCTCTCCGCGAGGTCCCCGTGTTGTTTGGGAACAGAGGCGCCTGCCTCTCCCCCCTGCAGAGAGGTCCCAGCAGTGCGAGGCCCCAGGCTAAAAAAAACTGTCCAGGCTATCCAAGGAAGGCCACATTCCACCCACCCGAGGGCACGTGGCCAGGCAGGGTGTGGGGTGCCCCTGAAGTGCCAGTCTATTCTTATGTGACCAGCCTGGACACAGATACTTGAGTATTGGGAGGCCCACACGGTAGGCACCTGTGAGCTTACGCGGGTCAGTCTCGCCCCGCCGGGGACCTGCGCGTGACAGCACACCCCTCAGCCATGGCGTGCGCCACTCGGGGCTGCACATGACGCTAGATACTTCTCCCGGATGCAACTAATGCCGCCCAGATGCCCGTTCCCCTCGGCAAGCGCCGGGCGCGGCTGGAAGAAGGTGGTGCCGGGGAAGGGTAGCGGGTGGAGGCCTCGCCCTGGCTTCCTCCAGCAGCTGTGGGTCGGAACTCGGTGCTGCTGTTGGCTCGTGGGCAACTTCAGGGGAACGAGTTGGTTGCGAAGTTGCTTTTGCTCAGGAATCGATTAGTCAAACTCCCAAAGGCCCGTGCGACCTTGGCCGTGTGGCCCTCACAAGACGCTGTGCTGGAGCCGCGGTGGGCGCCCGCCGCGGGAGCCTGCCTCACCTTGGCCGCAGCCCAGTCGTGAATCGTGACCCATTTAAGGTTGCTGCACCTTTATCTGCGCCGTGGGCCGCCCCTCTGCTCGGGCCTCCGTAGGGACACTGCTTCTTCCCTTTGCTGCCTTCCTCACGCCCGACCTTCCCGTGACTGATGGAAACGTGGCTTTGCTCTGTGTTCAGTCTGTCCGATCGAGCCCCTGGGCTGGCCGCCCCGCTGCGGGTGCCGGCCTCCCTGCACTCTGCATCGCCACCTCTAGACGCTGCAATAAAGATACTTGTTTCCACTCAACTGGGTCCCGCGGCCGTGTTCCTTCTGTCACGTGGCGGGGGGTAGGCAAGTGGGGTGACCGTCCCCAGGCAGGCTGTGGCTGGCAGCACTTTGAGAGCAGCAGCTGCTGTGATGCTGGGCGGGGTGGGGAGGGGGAGCCGAGTCCCACTTTTAAGGGCTTTCACCTGATTAGGCCAGGCCCACCCAGGATAAACTCTTGAGTCAGAACCATCTGATTTGAGATCTTAATTACATCGATAAAATCCCTCCCCTTTCCATTATTTGGATCCCTGGTGGCTCGGTGGTTAAGAGCTCAGCTGCTGACCAACAGGTCAGCAGTTCAAATCCACCAGCTGCTCTTTGGAAACTACTCTGTCCTATAAGGTGGCAAGGCGTTTGGTTTGGGTTTGGTTTTCCCTTAATTGATTGGTTAGACCCAAGTCAGGTCCCGCCCACATCCTAGGGGAGGGCATGTCGGGGGGAGGGGTCACTTTCGGGTTCTCCTTAGCCCACCACTGTTCATACCCTCCCCCTCAGGGCCTGTGGGTGCTAGAGGTCCGTGGGGTCCGGACCTCTCCCCGCCCAGGGCCTTTGGGCTCCTCCCCACCACGCGGCCACAAGCCCCTAAACCGACAGACGGGCGGACCCTCCAGTCTCCCCTCATTCAGGTCACCACCGCCCAGTGGAAAGAGGTACATTTATTTCAACAGGAGCGCAGGGGCGAGGGTGGCCCTGTCCAGCTCTGCCCAGAGGCGTGGCCACGGCATCGCCTCTCCATCAGCAGGAGTTCACATCGGGGCAGGCGGCGCGCTCCCCACACCTTTCACAGCTTCACAGTCTGACTACATTCAGCCGGCGGGACCCCTGCCCCCCTCGGGGGGTCTGGGGGCCGGGCGGCCCGACGCCGGAACGTGGACGCTTGTCCCCCGCACCCTACAGCAGCAGCCGCCCCAAAGGGTGGCCAGTCCATGGGCTTTCCTTCCAAAAGGCAGCCCTGCACCCCACCCGGCCTTGGGGGAAGACAGAACCCCTCCCACCACAAACCCAGCCCACTCGGGGGGGGCGAGAGGTGGCGGGGAGGGCTGTCCTGTCCCGAGCAGGGGCCTTGCCAGTCTGGGGGCTCATGCCTTCAAGCTGCTTAGCTGGAACCGGGCCTCCTCGGAGATGCCGAACTGCTCCAGGGGGTCCTGGGAGGGGGCGAGGGCAGGGACGGAGTGAGCCCAGGGCCCAGGAGGCCCTCACCGCCTGCCCGCCCCACAATCACCTTGCCCGTCACTTTCTGGATCTCGTTTCTGTAGAAGAAGAGGCTCCTCCGCGTGAACTCGTGGGTTGGAGACGGCGGCGGTGAGTGGTCGCTGTCTCCTTGGGGGAGGCCACGCCTCGTCGATGCCACACCCCGCCGACGCCCCGCCCCCTAGGACGCTCCGCCTTGCCGACGCCCCTAACCTCCGACGCCCCGCCCCTTGCGTGCCCCGCCCCTTGGCATGCCCCGCCCCGGTCCCCTGATGCCCCAGCCCCTGCCCCCTTACCTGGCCGGATGCCCCGCCTGCATCCACTCCTGACACTGCTCCTCGCTGCAGCGCTCGAAGTGGTACTTCCTCTCCGTGTCCACGAAGCCTGCAGAGAGCGGCCTTGTCTGTCCCGCGGGCCACGGGCCTCGGCTTTCTGCTGCCCTTGTCCACACCGTCACCACTCCCCAGGCCCCAGCCCGACCGGCCACTTCCTGCCCACGTCTCTTGTGCGCCCCCCATTTCCTGTGCCCCCCACCCCCACTTGTCCCGCTCCAACCCACTACTCAAGGAACGCGAGGCACAGTCCCCAGTCCGGACAGTTCCAGGGCCCAAGGTGACCCCCACGGCCAGCCTGCACTGACCCCAGCATTTTGGGGCCCCAGCTTCCACACCTCACGGCCTTGCTCATGGACCCTCCCCTGTCTGGAAGGCAGCCCTCTCCTCCAGGCAGCCCTCCCGGCCTCACCCCACCACCACCACCACACTGGGCTGGGGACCCTGTCCTGGGCTCCATCTCCCCACGCAGACTTGGACCTCAAGAAGAGGGACCACAGCACAGGGCCGGGGACCGAGACATCCCAAGAGAGCAATCCTTAACTCAAGCAAAAGAGAAGGTTCTGGTGGCCTTCGGGGTAGCAGCGTGGATGCCAGGTGGTTCCTCCCCACCGTCATGCCTGCACTATCATCAGCCACAGTCCAGCCTGGGCTCCACGGGGAGGGCAAAGTCTGGGGAGAGGCCGCTGGGGAGGAGCCCCGCCTGCAACGGCCTTGGCAGGTGGACAGGAGGTGTGCGGCCCCAGAAGCCTGACCTTGAGCTGCCGGGGACAATGGCCTCATTTCTGGGGAGCTGTGGCGCCAGGCTGGGGAGACAGAAGGAGCCTCGGGCGTCTGGGGAGGGGACGATGAGGACCCCTGCATGTCAGTGCTGGGGACCAGCTGTCCTTGTCACCAACCCCCCTCACTGATGGAGAAGCCACTGGGCTCCTCCTGGGTGACTCGGCAGTGCTCCCGTAACAGGGCTCCGATGGGCTGGAGACACGCGAAGGAGTGGATGGGGGCACAGTTCCCCCTTCCCAGGGTGTCTACCCCTTCCCTGGCCTCCAAATAGGATTAAATCCACAGGTATAGGGGTTAGGAGTCCAATGCATACTTTGGGGAGACACAATTCACTGCGTAATAGACAATTACTCAAATTTTAGCAGCGGCTACTCAGTTTTGGGACAGTCTCCGGAAAGTCTAGACTTAAAAAGCAAAGATGTCGCTCTAAGGACAAAGGTGCACCTGACCCGACCCATGGTGTTTTCAGTCACCTCATATGCATGCGAAAGCTGGGCAATGAATAAGGAAGACCAAAGAAAAATCGACACCTTTGAATTGTGGTGTTGTTGAAGAATATTGAATATACCATGGACTGCCAGAAGAACAAACAAATCTGTCTTGGAAGAAGTACAGCTAGAGTGCTCCTTAGAAGCAAGGATGGTGAGACTTCATCTCACATGTTTTGAACATGTTATCAGGAGGGATCAGTCCCTGGAGAAGGACATCATACTTGGTAAAGTAGAGGGTCAGCGAACAAGAGGAAGACCCTCAACGAGATGGACTGACACAGTGGCTGCAACAATGGGCTCAAACGTAGCAATGATTGTGAGGTTGGCGCAGGACTGGGCAGTGTTTCATTCTGTTGGAACAGAGTCACTACGAGTCGGAACCGACTGAATGGCACCTAACAGCAACAGTAGGGAAAGACGGAGTCCTGGTGGTGCAGTGGTTAAGAGGTTAGGTGCTAACCTAAAAGCTCGGCAGTTCAAATCCACCAGCTACTCCTTGGAAACCCTATAGGGTAGGTCTACTCTGTCCTATAGGGTCGCTATAAGTCAGAATCGACTCGACGGTAAAGAAATGAAGTACTGTGGAAACTGCCCAGTTAGAACTGTTTTCTAAAGGGAATGATCCAGACTACTCTAGACAAACCTATGAAGGGAGCACAGGAATCAGGGAAAATGAAAGTCCTTACTGAAAGTAGCCAGGACATTTGAGGAGGGATTATAGAAAGTGACTCCCAAAGACACAGGAACAAAGGAACAAAGGAATAAGGAACATCCAGAAATCTAGGGATTGACAGATGGCTCAAAATGCACAGATTTAGGGCATCTCGGAGTTGGGAACTGGTGATACCAGCCATACTTGTTCTGCAATTTCCTCAGGAATTTCTCGCTTTGCACCTGCTCAATGTAAGTTCATGGTATTTCAGGTCAGCCTTGTTCCTTTTCCTACTTGTTGTATTTCCTCTGTGGTTCCCATACAGGTAGATCCTCTGACTGAGGAACATGTTTTCCTATTTTACCTGATTCTCCTGTAAACCTACTGGGCTGCTGTGCAACTTGAAGGTTCTTCTATTCTGTATGCCAGAGAGTGTCTTTGGAGTGCCTTGGGGGAAAAAAGTCCCCTGGTTCGGTTACCAGGTGCCTTCTGAAAGAAAAGGAAGACCGGAAGAGAGTGGCAGTAGCACATCGTGCTTGGGGGAAAGGCACCTGTTATGGGTTGAATCGTACCCTCTACCCCACCCAAAATGTTTGTCAACTTGGCTAGGCCGTGATTTCCTGTATTGTGTGTTTGTCCACCATTTTGTGATCTGATGTGATTATCCTATGTGTTGTAAATCCTACCTCTATGATGTAACAAGGCAGGATTAGAGGCAATTATGTTAATGAGGCAGGACTCAATGAACAAGATTAGGTTGTATCTTGAGTCAATCTCGTTTGAGATATAAAAGAGAGAAGCAAGCAGAGAGACAGGGGGACCGCCTACCACCAGGAAAGCAGAGCCTGGAGTGGAGCACGTCCTTAGGACCTGGGGTCCCTGTGCTGAGAACTCCTAGATGAGGTGAAGATTGAAGACAAGGACCTTCCTCCAGAGCTGACAGACAGAAAGCCTTCCTCTGGGGCTAGTGCCCTGAATTCAGACTTCTAGCCTCTTAGACTGTGAGAGAATATATTTCTGTTTCATAAAGCCATCCACTTGTGGTATTTCTGTTACAGCAGCACTAGACAACTGAGACATTTTGTTCATTTTGGGCTTCATGGAATGATGATACCTATTGAATCTGAGATATAGAACCAATAAAAACAGTTCACTAAGAGAATAAACCATGGCTACGAGTAAAGCAACATCCTTTGTCAACAATTAAATTAGAAATAGAAAAATGGTTATAATACAATTAAACAATCAATAGATGATTTTTAAAACGAAATAGATAGAATTAAAGATATTCTTACCCTGCAATATGCCATTGTTGTTCGTTGCCATGGCGCTGGCTCCGACTCATGGTGACTTTGTGTACAGCAGAACGAAACATCGCCAAGTTCTATGCCATCTGCATGGTCACTGATATGTGTGATTTATGTGATCCATAAGGTTTTCATTGGCTAATTTTCAGAAGTAGATCACCAGGCATTTCTTCCTAGTCTGTCTTAATCTGGAAGCTCCGCAAAACCTATCCACCTTGGGTGACCCTGCTGGTTTTTGAAATACCAGTGGCATAGCTTCTAGCATCAGATCAACATGCAAGCCGCCACAGTATGACAGACTGACAGATCGTGGAATAAGCTTATAGTCCCGGTAAAGAAGGAAGGTAAATTGAATAAAGATGATCAACCAATTTGTACAAATTCTTGGGGGCGTAAATACATTAGTTGTTTCATTAACTCCTGTAGTCCTTAACCCTGCAACCATTCTCCTTGTGACTTTGGGATTTTCTGTTTTTCTCTGTATTTGATCTATGGTTTGCTTTTTATTCTTTCTTTTGTCCTTCTAGCAGATGAGTCTAAAACCTTGTTATTAAGGCAGAGTCCAGTGTTTGTGGTAAAGGATTCCTCCAGGGTTTTGAGCACTGGTGGTGCAGTGGTTAAGCGCTGGGCTGCTAACTGACAGATTGGAGGTCTGAACCCACCAACCACTCCGCAGTAGAAAGATGTGGCAGTCTGCTTCCGTAAATATTTACAGCCTTGGAAACCCTGTGGGGCAGTTCGACTCTGTCCTATAGGGTCACTCTGAGTCAGAATCAACTCGACGGCAATGGGTTTAGTGTTTTTGGGTTTTTGGTTTTGTTTTTTTTACTATTTTCTCTGGTCATTTACAGGAAATCCTAGAGGAATCTGTCTCACCAGAGTGATGTATAATTATTAAATACGTAAATGATTACTAGTAGCCTCAGAAACTGAAGATTAATGTAAAACTCATGCTTTGGCTTTCTTACAATTCCTTGCTTTACGGGGCATAAAACCTAATTATAATCAAACTCCAATATTGCCAAACTGAGGTAAAATGTTGAGGGCATCTGTTAACTGAAAGCTGCAAAATATTACAATTTTGGAGACAGTCCATTTTGCAGGCAAAAGGGCCTATGCCTGTTCACAATGCAGATCTGATAATATTTATTGATGGGTCATGTACCGGGGGTAAAAGTGGCCACTTAAGTCTTCCTATGCTGTGGTGACATCATGAAATTTTGGAAGCTTGCTTTGTCTGGAATTCAGTCTGCAAGAGCAGATAAGATACTATTATAGTTGCCAGAGGCTTTACAAGTGACTTCTCAGGTATCAGTAATCCACTGTAGGGCTCACACAGGGCCGAATGACAAAATTTCTGAAAGCAATGATATTGCTGACAGAGCTGCAAAGGCCACTGTTAAGCTATGGCGGACCCCAAACTTAGAACCCCTACTTTCAGTCCAGTAGGAAATTGTTGTTCAGTCTCAAATGTTTGCTTCACGAAGGGAAATGGCCAACTGGATTTTTTTTCTCATTCGCTCAAAAAAATATTTATTGATCACATTACTATATGCCAAGCCTTGTCACTAAGATGCTGAGTTAACAAAACAGATAAAAATTCCTGAGGGAAAAAGAGTGGTAGTGCACATTTAGGATGGAGGACCATTTGGTGGAGGAAATAGGTGTGCAATTGCAGAGAGGAAATAGGTTCAGGGTTGCAGATGATATAGAGCCTTTGACTCCGAGGAAGGTAGAAAGTTACTGGAGGATTTTCAACAGAGGACTGTCATGCCTGACATTTTTTGTGTGTGTATAGCTGTCCAGGCAAGGGCCAGTAATGTGAAATCTGCCTCCAAAAATGGAGGGTGCTGAGAGATCGTAGAAGAAGCAACTCCAGGGTGGCAGCAAAGGAGTCTATTAGGGAGACTTACAGACGAGGTGAGTCCTGGGCAGCTGCAGGACCAAAGCAGATCTCCGCAGTGGGAGGGCAGAGGTTTTAAAGTGGTGGTGGACAGTAGTGGCTCCATGCCAGGGGTCTACATAAGAATGCAAACTGTAGTGAACTAGTGGACCACGTGGGGGGGGGGGCCCATGTTCAGCCTCGCAAAAACTTTCTCCCCCTCAGTGCTCCCCTCGAGTCTGGTTCTTACAATCTGGCACGTTCCCCCTCTTGTGCTGCAGTATGGGAGACCCTGTTCCCTCCCTGCCAGGAATAGACATAGAAGTGGGATTGGCCAGGTGCCGTACGGTGCTTGCACATGTGCAAGAGACAGACAAAGTTATTTTGTGCCCAGAAAGGAAGGCTTCTCTGACAAAGAGAAGGAACTGGGAGAGGGAAGGTGACTCAATTCCCAGGCTCCTTATGACAGAATGCTCTGACCCAAGGCCTTTACTTAGGCAGCCCGGATGGGAGGCGGAGAGGCAGACCATTCCCCCAACAGTCTGGCCTCCAACTCCCATCAGGGTGCCAGAAAAAGGAGCAAAGCAGTACCAAGTCCTGGTATGCCCGTTTTGGACCCTGAGCTGCATCTCCATGGTTTGGTGCCTGACTCTGGTGGATGTTATATCTGTGCGTCATTTGAGGCAGCATTTAATGAGGCTTACTAGTAGGATTGTCCTCAGCAGACTGATCAGGCCTGCTTGGAGGAGAGATCCCAACCAGCCACCCCAGTTGTGGCTTAATCTATGCCAACCAAATAGATCAAAGGACTGCATTTGTCCAATCTTATGTATATATATGTCCTGATTCATTTATGTAAC